ACTTCGAAGCCCTCGAATTAAATTCCAAACACGATCTAAACTCGACACCGTTCGTCTACTTTGACATGGACATTCGTAAGTCTGAGTAATAAAATCGAGTTGGTATAGCTATATTAAATGTAAACAAAAGCTATTTGCGTGCTAAATAAGGAAGTGTTGCACTAATCATATCAGACATAAATACATGGGAAGTCGTACAAGTGCAGTTATACCAGTGCAATGGCGTTCTGACGATACTCGTGACGTCAGATGTCACAATTTATCACTAAGACTTGCATAAAATGACAGATTAGGGGGGAGGTTTGTTGTTGTTTTTTATTTATAAGTTGTTTATTAACTCACTTAACAATAGATGAATAAAAACCAACATTTTGAAACTTGTTATTCGAGTTCAAAGTGTTAAGAAATCAAAATAGATTGTGTGAACGTACATCGGGGACAAAAATAGACATTCAAAACAACCATCTATATTTCGTTTGATGAATCATAAATTAGCTATTTTAATTGGAAACTAGGGTACCCAGATAGTCAAATACGAAAATAAATATCTATATTATTGCTATATAAGTAGGTGAAGACTATAAGAATGGTATTTGGAATATAAATGTTTATATTATATTTAAATCGTAATTTGCGCGAATGCCAAAACATTACATAAAAGTGAAGTTTATGACACAAGAGTTATGAGCTGGAAGAATCCAGAGACAAAGTGAAAAGAGTTAAATAAAAATAACAGCAGCCAGCAGCGTACAGATTGCAAGTGGATACGAGTTGTTCGCATGAGAGAGAGGTACAGAATATATTCGCCTATTAGTTATCTCTAGAGATTATTTATTTAACAAACAGTTTAATGTCTCCTTGGCAAGGGAACAAACATTTCTTGAAAAATGTGAATAAATTAAAAACTCAATATTTCCGTCTGTTGGTTGGCAATGCATATTATAATTAAATCTCAACCGTGACAGCTGACTGAGTAATTTTAGATACCAATTTATTTCTGGGAAAATTTTAACACAAGTTATGAGAAAGATGTGCAAATAATACAAAGGTTTCAGAGATCCTGTGAACATGGCCTGTCATGCCTTTGTCTGCTGATGACACGTTGAAAATGAAATTTAATCAAAACTTCTGAGAACTGTGAATGCATAAATATCATGTTACATTTAAAACAATTGAGACAAAGTATTTCCTTTCAAACCATGTATTGATAACCATAATTGAAGTTTGAACATGCATTTTTAAAAAGATAAGATCACATTTTCTTATATTTTTTCCTTTGATAAATTAATCTTTCTACAAGATATTTTATGTCCGCCAGTGAGTCATTTGAAGTAAAGCCAGTTGCTTTATAGCATTTTTTATCACAAGAATCATATTTGAAATATTTTACTGGCTAGTAATATTTTAATATAAGATTTTACCCCACACTGAGTATAAAATACAAAGTAGGTACTAACAGTTGTATGTGAGAGGATTGTTAACCTTCAAACTGAATATATTGTTACTTCAACTGTTTCTAAACTAAATGCAATTATAGTACAGTTAACAAAGTAATAATTAGACTAAGATGTTAAGTTAAAGACTATATATACACAAAGAATTTGTTTGTTCATTTATCCATGAACACAATGTGTAGGTATGTACCTAAACTACATGAAATAGTGAATGAATTAAATCAGTTGTTTTATATTTTTGTTCCCATATATACATGGGTGTGTTGTTTATGTTAGCTTAGGGTGGCCATCTCTCTGTTTTTTTACCAATTGAAAAGGAAATGGAAGAGGAAAGGGGAGGATTTAAAGTGTAAAACATAAGGACATAAAGGAGTTTCTTTTATGTCTTTGTCTAGGTTCTGAACTTCAAAATTCAGTGATTTCTTAAATGACTTCTACAGGTTAGTTAATTTCAGGCTGGCAACCCTGGTTAGGTTGAATGAATAACATAAATGTTCATACTTATTTATGATGGTGTTAGAGCTGTAACTGGCATTTAACATCTCTATTCTAATTTATAAAGGTGATTGTTAGTCAATACTCTAAAATAACTCAAATTGGAATCTTTTTGCTTTCAACAATACTTTGGCTATTATATGTCTGCCAAATTAATGGATAATTGAAAGCATTTACCACATGAAATGTATTTTGTCAAAATATGTGTCAATTAACCCTTTGTGTACTGTCATTATAGACACAATTATTCTGTCAAACACCAAGCGGTCACCGGTGACCGCGACCTATTGTTCTTTAATTGTGTCTATAAAACCGGTACTCGACGAGTTAAAGAACAATAGGTTGCGGTCACCAGTGTCCTTGCGGTGTTTGAGTTCCTAGACCATTACTTACAAACCCACCGTACAACCTAGTACATCAACCATTGCTCGGCTTACTAGTCCATGATCCTATAATCTCCATTCTAAGCTAATTACTGATTATAGTATAACAACCAGACATTGTGAACAGGCCCTAAGTCATCAAAGAAATAATCTTAAGAATGGAAAAGTGTAATATCAAGATGCTTGATGAATCACTGTTTGAAAATCAACAATGATATTGTATAACAATAACATCAGCTTGCACATTTTATCTCAATGATGTATAACCATATAAATATCAGATGTTTTCTAAAATAAGGCCCAAGTTCCCACTACTCCATCATTGCAATCTATTGCCAATCAATAATATGATAATCCTAGATGTCTGTCAATGGATGTTATCAATGTCATTTAAGCTCCGAGGCTAATCAGACAGACATAATAAATAATAACTAAATTCCATAATATTCCATTAAACGTCAATAAATAAAATACACGAATGTTATAAGTTAGTTCTATGTAATTAACAAAAACCGTTGTGATAAACATTGAAAACAATTAGTTAATATATTTTTGGTGAGTTTTCAGTCAAGAGAAAGAAATGTCTTGATATGAGGTTTCCTAAAACAGGCCTTTTTATTTATTTTTTAATAATCTTATATGTTTAGTACAAATTTCATCAATACACAATTAGTTTGGCTTGCATCAAAACAATCTTTAATAGGATTTCTACTTAAAAAATATTTTATTGGATATATTATAATAATAAACAATTATGAAATACGTACATACCTTTGAAGCACGATTTGAAGGGATCTCAACGGTGCATAAGCAGACTTCACTAATTTTGGCAGCTACAGCACACTCACTGATTAACATAAATTAGGACTTTTGCATGTAAAATTTCAATGGAGGTAACATATGATAGACGGGGTATCAATGTATTGGATCCACTTTAATTATATTGAATTATTAAAATAACGCAAATAAAGCATACCAGGAACCTAAAAGCATAAATTACAGGATGAAGAATAAACTATTAAAATTAAATTTTAATTATTTGCACGAAATATGGCAGGTTCCAGAAAAAGACTGCTGTCAATGTCAGTTCAGTTGATTGACTTTACGTAGTTACACCAAATTATTGATTTCGCTGGCCACAGACCACAGGAAAGATTTAATTAATTTTACGTTAGTCGAATAATAAAATTACAATCGTCTTAAAGATTTAAAAGTGGAGTATTGGTGAAAGTATGACATTAGTACTGAACTAGACATTTATATGACTCTAACTACCCCCATAGGCTGCTAGTTGTTACTGCCCCTACCTACTCTTTTGTCAAAATATCTCCAAGATAGGTATTTCTAGCGCTATCTCACACATCCCATCAAAGAGTATAATAAGTATAGGGGTTCATCATAGATATATAACATATCATATCAGTGGGTTCATCCCATGGATTTCTAGCGCTGCTGCTGTTCCACAGAGTTACGCTTATTTTTATTTTTCATTATAAGTTTAGAATCAAACTATTTTAGAACTGTCACAAATAGTAAAACATGCCTCTTTGGAGTTTGATTTTTCAAATTTCGAATATTTTTTTCGTAGCAATGACAGCAGTAAAACTAAAAAAATACATTTTATAATTTATAAATAACAGTGTGAATACATTGTAATACTTGGTATTAGTTTTTCAAGCTGAATGCAAGAAATGCCTGCAGACACTCCTTGTACTTGCAGTAATCCAACTGATTGCCTACCTGATTACCACGGGCATCACGGCCACCCAGGCCACCCAGGCCACCCAGGCCACCACGTAAATATTATAAATACTACTGTTTATAGTCGTACCTATTGTAGTAAATAATTTCAGAGCAGCCTTAGCTCGTGGCTTTTTATGGGTTCCATATAGTAATACAAGAAAAGAAATTGTTAATTAATGGTGCTTTCACACATATGTCTACTTTGTGAAAGAATAATAAATTTTGTAAACAAAAGTGAATTTGCCAACCACATGAGAGCCCATGATAAATGCCATTAATCAAAAGCCGTAGCCGAAACTGGCATGGTATTATAATTATACCATATACATTAAACAATACAAAATTACTTAAGTAATAGTAATACAAAATACTGTAAAATAAAACAGAACAAGTAATTATCACATCACCATAGCATTCATTCATAGCACATGTTTGTTAAAAATTTACATCATTGCATGCCACTTATTCGTAACATTAACATAGATTTAAACGTTGATAAACACTTGCACTGTAAAGATTTAGGTCAATTTGTAATTTTAAGCTTCTCGCTTAGTAATGTGCATTTTTTATAATTTGCTATGTTTGTTTGTCATGTGTGGGTCTCAAATTATTTGAGTGAAATTCAAATGGAATAATAATAATGATGTTTGATTTCAATTATTTTTAACAATATTTAAATATTCGTTTATATTACTAAAATCAAAACAAACAAGAAAATACAACATTTTACATTTTTTCTGATGTAAATAGTAAATTCCTCCTGGCAACACTCACTACAACCACAAACCACAATTTACCACAACTTTGTCTTTTGCTTTTGAGCACGGATAGTGCATGTTACGGAATTTTAGAGCTTTAGTTAAATTGAAGTTAGAATCCTTCAGGGAATCGTCAAAAGGTGCAACGTAACAATTGTGCGAATAGAATGCTTATGGAGTTAACCGATGATCAAGAACAAAGTGACAGCGGAATGGAGTCTTTGAGTGCGAGCAAAGATGATAGTCCAGAGCGCAGGCCTGATGAATTTTTCATAACCCCCTCAGTATGTACCGATAACTGATAACATAAAGTAGGAAACATGTGATAGATTGTTAATGTGAATTTGTTTACAGCTAGGATCGTCGCCCAGCGCTGGCACACCTATCGGTGGGCCTACTGGAGGACATTTAGCTGGACCACTGAAAGAATATGATGATGTGAGTTTTATTGTTTTAGAATTGAAATATTAATTAATATGCTGTTAAAGTAATATTGGGATGTGATCTTTTTATGGAAATATTAATAATGATGTTATAATTTCAAGGAACCTGACGAAACCTTATCAGAGAGGTTATGGGGCCTGACTGAAATGTTCCCGGAGTGTGTTCGAAGCTGCACTTATACTTTCACTACAAACACAGTGTAAGAGTCAATAATTCCCTATTTATTTATTAAATACAAATGATGTCAAATTGTAATACAAAACAAAAATACCATGTAATAAGTGGATTAAACAGATGAAATCTTCCTGATGATAATAAATATAAACAGATTATATTCTTAAAATATCTTAAAATATTGAATACTTTTGTAGAAAAATGTACATGCATACATACCCTTGGACAAGCCGCTTATCACATGATATTTTTATACAGACCAGCTGCCAGTGGTAATACATACTTTTCCATGATCTGTTATGTTATTGTTGTACCAATGAATTCTTTTTATACAGTACATAGTAATGTTACTACTAAACCAATTATTGCAGCAAGTGGACTGTAAACAACCAGTTTTAACTGTTTAAGGTCCCTTTTCACCAACGAAACTGATCACGATTACACCTAACAAAACTAATTTAAAGCGTCTAATCGAATTTAAAGCGTTTAAACGAAGTTACAGCTTCATTTTACATTTCACCGCTACAAACAGAAACTAGTTTACACGGAACTCAGTACAGAAAACAGAACACAGAACTTAGGTTACTTAAAACTTAGGTTACGTGTAACTGAGTTTTTACAGAGCTTGGTGAAAAGGGACCTTAGAAAGTTTATAAAGAGGTTATTCATACAAGCTGTTTATTTCCTTTTCATAAATGGAATCATGTGTTTTTTCAGGTCAGGAGTTAAATCTCTGTATGGATTGTCTCGCTCAGTAATGTGGGTGATAGCCAGCTCGTCTGTAATCTTGTTTGCTCCAGTCATATTTGAAGTTGAGAGAGCTCAAATGGCTGAAATGGAAAAGTCACAACAGAAACAGGTATATTTTATTCTAAACTTAATTAAACTGTGAAGCTGTAGTCTTTAAGATAATTTATAAATATTTTTCTTGGTTTCAGGTCTTGCTAGGAACCAACACAGCTATGTCAGGCCCCATGCCGAACATGCCACCAATGCCGCGATAAATCAGTTATTAGAGTCAAACAATATATTCATTGTAAACTGTTTGAAATCTTCACTATAATATTTAAAGGAAATATTCAAATATCATCCAGAATGCTTTAATGTTAGTGTATTAGTTAAAAAAAAGAATAGGTACCTTCCTTAAACATGATTTGAAGTATTTTGTATTGGGCATAGCAACTAGAGATTAGTTGACTGTATGTTAGTTACTTAATATATTTACCCAATTGCATTTAATCGAAATGTTTACAAAATAATCAAATTGTTGTTTATTAGACTATTATAATTGTATTAAAAATAAGTTGCATTTTCTCTTACCATTTATGTTTTTCTGTTCCTGAAGGTTGCAGTCATATGTTACTGGTTCTAATTTTGTGATTTTATTGATTGGTTAGTGAGATGACGGTTTCATTTGTGAAAAACGTTTTATAGATGATGCTTTGTTATTAGAATAAATGTACTGTTGAAAATGCATTTTTTAATCATCTGTGTAATAGTGAAAATGTGACAAAAGTAATACAGTGTATAATAAATTTAAAATAAAGCTGTTATCGTTTTACTCAAGTAAGTATGGAAGACTTATATAGTTGCTTGAGTGAGTATCTATGCCTCCATGAATTATGCAAAAATGTGTTCATGTTGTAATGATACTTTCGGTCTATAGATGTCCACTACATACTTCAGTATCGTCTTTTATTTGAGAACATGAGGCGAGTTTGTTGCTAAGCCTTTATGCTGAGTCCTCAGTCACGGCGGAATTTGCATACGGAATCCATCGCACAATGAAACAGTGTTCGGAATTTCGTGCACAGGACCTCAGGCTGTTCCTGGCGTCGCTCCTTGCGATACCTAGACTTGAAAAACAAAAACTTAATATTTTGCACGATCTGGGATACGAACCTGATACCCTTGCTTTGATGTTAAGTTTAAAATACTTCTAAAGATATTGTAAGACAACTTTCGAGTACCTAAATTAAGATTTCTGTTTGGACTCAAATACCTATGGAGATGTTATAAAACGTTAGGTACATAGCAGATATTATGTTTGTTATAGTTATTGTAACAACTACGTCTGCGCTGTGCAACCAGTTGCAACGTCAAGGTCACCAAAAACCTCGAAAATCAATATCGGAGACCCTTGACCTTATGTAACAGCACAGTTCTGTTGGAATTACACCCCATAAACCTATAAGGCGAATATGTGATAATGAATAGTTTTCAGACATAATATTAGGTTTGAGGCCGGGCTGTCAAATATTTCTTATGTTGATGATATCGACAGAAGCAACATGGATGAGGGAGTGTGCGCCTCCCTCATCCATGTTGCTGCTGACCCGCGCGGTCAAGAAAAGACGGAAGCCTATTTGTATGGATGGTGTAGATGAACGTGATTGATTTTGAATGCGAAGCGAATAGAGCTAGCGACCTATCAGCACTTGAGCATATTGTGGTTGACTACCAAATTGTTAGCGATGTCGCTAAGGCGGTTACGTTTATAGAAATAGAATAGGCACGGAGCGAGTGGCACTCTCTTGATAGCACCGCCATCGCTGGGCCGAATAGCATGAGCAATAATGAACGTAAATTAAGAGAAAAGTTACATTCTGATTTCCAAGTATCCCAAAAAACAGAATAATGTGATACAAGATGAAGGTAATACAATAGATACCTAAATATAAAACAAGGTTCTTCATATCTCTTTTTCTCTCTAAAGGTGCAAAGCATCTGTCATAAGCCATAACGGTACTTTTTTCAACTGTGCCGGTAACTAACTTGGTTTGGTACTCTTTTACAATGCTAATTTTTGTTTTTCAACAAAGTTAAACTTATCATTGGAACGTACCCTTAACTACAATTTCTATTTAATCTGTGAACGAATTTACGTCACATCGCAGTCTATAAATACATTATCTGTGCAAAATAGTTCAAATCAAATGTCATTTCACCTGACAACTTTTTTACTGAGAACCAATGTATTTTCATAAATAAATCGTTGTAAACATGGCAAATACAGGCTTATTGCCGTTTGTTCGCGGCGTGGACTTTACCTGTAATGATTTCAGTGTAAGTGTAGTGTAACTTTGTCGATACGTCGCTTTGCCTATTACGGATGATATCATATCCCTAACCTTTGCTTTCCTATTTGAATCCTATTATGTTTATTTCTTGTAGGATGATAAATTCCCGGATGCTATTCGGTACATGACTGGCCTCCAGTGGCTACGGCTCGACAAGACTAACCTGACAGATATCCCTGAGGAGTTAGGCAAGTTAATGAAATTGGTAAGTAGGCCTTCTTAGCTTGATGATTTCATGAACAAAGCATTTATACTAATCTCTTCAGTAGTTCATATACTTACCGTATATCAACTCAACCATTATTCTATAATAATATATACTATGCCAAAGATTTGTAGTTAAAATAAAGGGTATTTTGAGACATGTTTATATAAAAATGTAAACTGTGTCATGTGCTAAATTAAAAACGTTCATTTAAGAAATTTGGTAGTAAATGTCTTATTGTAATAAAGCATACATCTTTGTAACTGCAGGAGAATTTATCACTGAAGAAGAACAGTTTAGAGAAATTATTTGGTGAGTTGACCGAGTTGAAATGTCTGAGGTCCCTAAATGTGAGGCACAACAATGTGAAGAGTTCAGGGATCCCGGCTGAGCTGTTCAGGTTGGAAGAGCTCACCACCTTGGATCTATCACATAACAGGTTGAAGGAAGTTCCTGAAGGATTAGAGAAAGCCAAATCTTTACTAGTTTTAAATCTCAGTCATAATAAGTAAGTCTGAATTAGTTCTAAGTTTTTCTCTCTTAGTTTTATAAATAGTAAGTTACTCATAGAACAAAGTTTCTCTGAGTAAAAATAAATTGTCAGCCAAAAAGATAAAAGTTTTCACCTTTAAAAGTATATATTTTAGAGACATTAAAAAGTGGTGGTAAACTTGCTAACAAATAGATAGTTAAATACAAAATCTATGGAATAATTAAGTATTTGTGTCACCAAACTGGCTTTTTATGGTAATTTAAATGTTATTCAGAAACCGTTACCATTTTATTACATGTTTACTGTTATTTCAGAATTGAGAGCATCCCACCAACATTATTTGTGCAACTGACTGACTTATTGTTTCTGGACCTGTCCCACAATCTGCTGGAGACTTTGCCCCCTCAGACCAGAAGGCTAGCTAACTTGCAGACACTTGTACTTAATGACAATCCACTTGGAGTTTTTCAGCTGAGGTAAGACATATATTAACTGAAAATTGTTCACTTTTGTGAAAAGACTCCAATACCTCAAATAAATCAAAATCAATAACGGTATAAATATTTAGCTTGATTTATAAATTGTCTTTCATATTTGTTTAACCCGTTGAAAATCATCCCCTAAATTTGTTCATACAAAAGTAGTCTCTAATCATTGGAAATAAGGTCTGTAATGTAGTTAGTGGAGAGAGGTTACCGGTGACCGCTTGGGGATATATGAGTCTAGCTTTTGCAATGATCATGAACAGAATCAGACTTAAAAATTTAAAAGATCAGCTACCCACTACGCACCGTATTTTAAGTTATTACATAACTTATAATAACAGTAGAATATAACAGTATTTTGTTTACAGACAACTGCCCTCTCTTCAAAGCTTAGAAGTACTTCACATGCGCAATACACAGAGGACTCTTGCTAACCTGCCGTCATCTCTGGACACCCTCTCCAACCTGTCTGATGTGGACTTATCAAAGAATGCCCTGACCAAAGTACCTGATGCCCTATACTCATTGCTGAGCCTCAAGAGACTGAACCTTAGTGACAATGAAATCACTGAAGTGTCTTCAGGTAAGAAAGTTAACTAACATAGTTTTAAACAAGCCACATCTTCTGTAACCATTGGTCGGTTCAGGAGGAAACCAATGGTTACAGTCTTTATACTCAATCAATCTTTTTTTCTTACTTGCATAGTAAAAAGCTGTACTGACTGTACTCTTTGGTTTCTATATTAACTCTTTGTGTACCGTCATTATAGACACAATTAAAGAACAATAGGTTGCAGTCACCGGTGACCGCGCGGTGTTTGACAGTTTAATTATTTTTTAAGTTACAATCTCTCTAATTAGATTCTTATTACATTACTAATCTATTCATGGAATTGAATGGTAATCTACAAATTAATGAGGCTCAACATGGATTCAGACTTTCAGAGATAATAAATACTTGCATTATTTATTTTATATACAGGCATAGCTGAGCTACAATATTTTGAATATGAATTAATTCTGATATGTATGTGTCCATAATTGGATCTAGTATTTGGATTTTTTTATTTTGCCTGTATTTAGATCATAAACCTAGTGATATTTTTATAATTTGTGGTTCCAATCAGAGTATGTATTTGTATTTTTAGATATCACCTTCTATAGATATAGTTATCTAAGTGGAGCCAAATTTCTGTGTTATCTCATTCCTCCAATGAACCTTTTGTTAAAACAACACTGCCATTGTTTATTGCTTGTGAGATAATAATCTATTGTTTACGTGAAGTAAGCAATTTTATCTCGTTTTTGGGAAACAATACATTACTTGGATTAAGTTGTCCCTTTTAGATAAGGTTCAGCATTCAATGACTCTTCCTGAATTTATACAAATTTGATAAAGCGAGTTTGTTTGTCTGGTTAAACATTCTAATCCCTAGGAAATCCATTTGAATGAATATAATACGTTTTTACAAATATTTGTATACCATCGTGCATTGCCGGAAAGAATAAGCTTATCTAACGTAATACTCATTGTGTATGTGTGTGATGAGCACTGCGTACTTTATATTTTTGAAGAACCGTTCTTATTGTCTCCGACGCCCAAGTTAACTTTGCATATCATTTTAACGAATATGATAGTTTTGAATTTCTTTCACAGATCAATTGACTATTTGTAGGGTATTTTTCGAATTACACAATGCTGTGTTTTATACGACCTTATATATTTTACTCTGTTCTTGAAAACAGGACTGAAACGCGCAAATAAATCCGCTAACGAATCGAAAATAGACTTTCGAACAGCTACACATATTTTTATGATGAATATGGATATTATGAAATCAAGCCAACTATAAAAAGTGCATGATGGAATCAGATTTCCATCACTGCACATAATTTTACGATGCTCGTTGATACGAATGCACATAAAAACTCATAGTAATTTCACTCATGCGTTTGCATGTTTGTCATCAATTAGTGTGAAGTCATGCTTTCTATTTTACTATGCATAGTTTATAAATTATACATCTGTTGTGACGAGTTTCTATTGTTGGTTCGGATGCTAAACAAAAAATTGACCCAATATTTTTTTTGTTTTATCTATTTCAATAGACTGTTAGTGGGGTAATGAAAGGTTTTATTAACCTTTTGAATGCACTGATATGAGACACAATAGAAAATACATTGTGTCTCGCGTGGATCCACGTCTTAGACACACGAAAGGTTAAAGTGATGTAAGCGGTCACTCTACAAACTACGACAGAGGTCGCTCTAATAGGGAATAGGAATGACTAGGTTGTGTGGTGACAGTAGATGAGAGTATATTTTTGTCACTACGACTACTCTTCCCTCGAATATAACAATAGAGTTAGGGACTAAACTATGTTAAGAGATGATGTCAATTTTTGCATGATTGGTACCTACAGATACCTTTCTGTTTTGACGACGCGCTTTTATTACACTGTACCTTGAATAATATCCGATGAAACCCTCGCAATTCTATTTTAAGTAGAAGTATTTTAAGTAATTGCTACTTACATTACCTACCATTGTAATCAGTTTGAGTCATTCACAATGCACTTCCTTGCTACAAATTACCGCACCCACATAATTTGATATATATTTTAGGATTACTTACTTAAGATAAAATTCCTATTATTATGCAATGCAAGCACGTCAAGCGATACCATCCTATATAATTTCTTTAATAGATTTTCAACCTTATTTTAATGCAATAAGGTTGACTTTAATAATCTTAAACAGTACGTGACTGCTCTAGACTCAAGTATATTGACCATACTTCGACTCCTGTTCATGTACTAGTCGCATAAACGATGTTATCTTTTCTGATACCTAGCAAAATTGAATCAACTATAAGACGGCAACTGACAAATAATAGGAGGGAAAGTATGTGCCTCAAAATACTGAATTTACGTAACATTGTTATGTTTACAAAAGAACTTTCAAAACTCTTTTAGTAACTATGTTACCTATTTACATACTAACCCATGAAACACATTACAAAAGAAAGGGAAACCATGTTAACTGAAACACGAGAACAAAAACTCTTTTGTGGAACTTTTATCAGACAAAGAAATACAACATGAGTGTAGACACTTGATACGATGTACATGTGACCATAGATGTTACGGTTGTGGCCACGGCCGGCCATCCATGACCTAGGACGACCTTAGAGGTACAAATGATCCTTTAGAACAATCTAGTGACCTGCAACGCCATTGTCACTGGCCGCCACGGCCTAAACTGACGACAGCGCCATTCTCTATAGAGTTTCGTACCATGAAGTTTCTAGTACTGAATTTAGAAGTGATAATTGTGCGTTTAGTTATTATGAGTATTATATGTGATTTCAATACAGTATTTATTTTTGTTCATAAAGACTTAGATAAATGATTGAATGTTATGGGTACTTCAAAGTCATAACATAGGAGTACTTATGAATTATGGTTGAAATTGTTTTAGCTATGGACAACTGGCAAAAACTGGAGAGTTTGAACTTATCACGAAACAACCTGACTGTGCTGCCAGCTTCCCTGTGCAAGCTACAGAACCTAAGGAGGTTGCATGTGGATGACAATAAGCTGGACTTTGAAGGTATACCTTCGGGTATTGGGAAGCTGGGCAGCCTCGAGGTGTTCTCAGCTGCTAACAACTTGTTGGAGATGATACCTGAAGGGCTCTGCAGGTAGGCATATTTTTGTAGCACTATATTATTTGCACTTAAGATAAAGACACTCATCCTTATTTATTTATTTTTTTTAGAAGTAATGCATGGCTTTTAGATAAGTAAAAAATAAACAAACATGCAATAAAACCACTTCTGCGTTATTGTGAATTAAACTTGTCATCAACTAATTATTACAAGAACTAACAAGAATATATCAATGTCAATAACTAGGGTAACTGTTATTTGGGACATTTTGCTAAAAATATAAATAAGTTCTACATTTCTACAACCATATCACATTATTCACTAGCTGTCGTCGTGTTTGTTTTTCGAAATACAGTTTAAAGCGTTAAATATTTATTTACATAGATATGCCAATAAATTTTACACAATACAAGGAAAGTTATTTCAGTATTGCACGTTTATATAATTTAATAAAAGTCATTTTTGATGTCTGTTGCAGTAAAATGGCAGTAAATAATTTTACACACGCTAAATAATTGTTAATTTTGAAAATACACAAGTCAGTACATCATTTTGTAGTAAATAAATATGTTAGCGAGTCATCCATTACTGTAATACTTCAACGAGTAGTATTATTTACTCTAAATAAATGAAAATGTATTTTCGCATAAAACTTTAAAACGATTGCATCAATATAGATTTTCTTGTTGTTGTATTATAATATTTGATATTGATGGCAAAAAATACGCGTAAAAAAGGCGCAACGAAATGAACTAATTCTTTTGACGTAACTACCTCATCATCACAAATTTAGAAACTGATGCAAATGCTTATATAAACTGTCAAACACCAAGCGGTCACCGGTGACCGCGACCTATTGTTCTTTAATTGTGTCTATAAAACCGGTACTCGACGAGTTAAATACACTACACACGAAGTTGATCGAGCAATTTCCAAATATGACAGTTTCCAAGCAAAGAATAGGCGAAACCGACAAAGTTTCGGACACCCCAACCCAAAATTAAAACGTCCACGTGGTTTAGCACTTGGCTTCGGCCCGTACTAGCCCTCAAATCCGGCATTGTAGCCGAGCTTAGAAAAAGGAACCGAAACTAATAATAATCATCGGGAAAGTCGGAAAGCTGCGGCGGACCACTAGTAAATAAATCATGTTGAACAAAAATCTTTAGACACGCTACACTTGTTTATTAAAACATCAGTTACTAAACAAAATATATTATTCTCTCAGAGTATTTAATTTCGCGATGTCATGTGATTCTTAACAGAATTTAGTGTATGATTAATTTTATGTCTACGCGTAGATGGATGCCAGATAAAAAACTAAATGCTAAATAATAAATGTGACTAGTAATTTATGTGTTTATTTTTATAAATATGTATAAAATTACTCATGTGCTCGTGACTTTGTTGATGGGAATTTTAATGTCGCGTATTTTTATTATCTTTAAGCGTTTAAGTGTGAATGATGGCGTCTGAATATTTGACTAGAGAATTTAGTTGACTCACTTTAAATGGGACGAGAAACAAACCAATAATAAACATAATTATGTCCTGCTCATGGGGGCAGTACATATGTTTACCAGTACTATAATGGTATAGCCATGATCTGACTGCGGAACAGAATATATGTAGTTTCTCACCACTCTTTAATTCTACTCATCTCCAACTTATCTGCCAAGCGTGGAGGTAGTGGCAAACCTTCATAAATAAAAAAGGCCTATAGTTCATCTGTGGCCTGGCGTACGTTTTTTGAAAAACGGGCATATATTAAACCTGTTATCTTTTGTTTTCATAGATGTGGATCTCTCAAGAAACTGAATCTAAGTTGCAATAAACTTATTACTTTACCCGACGCCATCCACCTACTGAGTGACTTAGAAAGTCTGCAACTACATGGAAACCCTGACCTGGTGATGCCACCGAAGCCAGTGGAACGACCGAGAGGCGCTGGTCTCCAGTACTATAACATTGACTTCTCTCTGCAAGCTCAACTACAGCTGGCCGGCGCTGCTTCCAATGAACCTACTACGCCCAGCAGTATGTATTAGATTTATCTACATTTGGACCTCAAATTATTAGCAACAAATACTTATAAAAATATACATAAAATATAATAAATAATTTATTATTATTATTTTGAATAAAATGATTTATTTATTTATACACGCCTACGCTTTTAACATTACTTGAATTGTGTAGTGAATGTTATGTTTAAATTGTAATTAATTTTATCGAATCAGTGGTAAGCACAATGACAATAACCTGCTACTATTTTTCTTTAAACACCTCTTTTTCTAAATAGACTTGTATACTTGACACAGGTGTAAAATCCGACCCTATCGCGCGTAAAATGCGCTTACGCCGTGGTCGAGCTGAGCCGGAACAACGTGACTCCGCGCTCATCCTCAAGGGCATGCAGGAACAGGCCAATACTCAACATAACGACCAGAGACTTGAGCAGAAGAACTCTGAACTTAAGTAAGTTTAAAATAGTACATCGGTACTCAATACTTCAGAAGTACTAGACACTAGAACTTAAACATTTCTCAAGTTTTACGGTTACGGTACCCTGGTAAAACTGCATTAAAATCAATTTAGTAGTTTTTGAGAACAGATTGTTTTAGTATGTTAAGATAATTATTATTAGAATCAGCCTTATGGAGATAGGCAAAACTGAGGAAGTAGTTGAAATCCTAAACAGGCTTCTGTTGTTTCTACCTGTGTGATGGATCACATGATCACATCAACAGCTTATAAGTGGCCACTGCTGACCAAACGCCTCTTCTCATACGGAGAAGGTTTGAGCATTAAGCACCACGCTTCCTCGATGCGGGTTGGAAACCTGTCTCCATAGGATGCCATAAATAAATACCTAGTTAAATAGTAAACACAAACAAGATGACTTAACCAAATTACTTTATTTATTCAGTTTTACTTTATTCCCAATCATTTGCACTCTTACACAACTACATGCAAAAATATTGGTATCGTAGGCCGAAGCGATGGGACGAGAGCTTGGAGAAACCTCCGCTAGACTACTCGGAGTTCTTTGATGAAGATACGGGACAGACGCCCGGCCTCACTGTCTGGGAGATTGAGAACTTCATACCTGCGCCTGTTGATGAGGTACTGAATTGTATATCTACCAACATTAAGTAAATCGTGTTCCCAGTAGAATAACTAATCTTATCGTCGGATTTTCAACTTAATATCGAAATAATAAAGTTCAAAATTGATCAATATGTGTATTTGATATAAATTTTATATGTATTTTTGTTATCCAGGTGGCACACGGTAAATTTTTCGAAGGTGATTGCTACATAGTGTTGAAGACTGCCATCGAGGAGCAAGGCCAGCTCTCCTGGGACATACACTTCTGGATCGGTTCTAAAGCGACTGTAAGTACAAATTGAATACTTTAAAAGTATCGTTCTATTTATCACACAATATAAAAACTATAAAAAAATATTTGCTCCAATTTGAGGTAAAAATTTTCATATGAAAGTTGACTATAATTATAACAAAATGTTTTAATGTGTTTTTTCCACATGTGGTCAGAATAAAAAATAGAAATATTCATTTTGTGAAAGAAAGAATATGAATGAACATCGCTATACTTACATACATTGAAGACAGTACTGTATTTTCTGGTAACTAACGTGTACATTCCCCCAGCTGGACAAGGCGGCGTGCGCGGCGATGCACGCGGTGAACCTGCGCAACCTGCTGGGCGCGCGCCGCACGCAGCGCCACGAGCAGGCCGACGAGACGCCCGACTTCCTCGCTCTCTTCCCCACGCCGCCCGTCTACATACAGGGCAGCCACACTCCCTCCGGCTTCTTCACTGTTGATGACCCGGTTAGTTAATAATAATTCATTCGGTTCCTTATGGGACCACGTGCTCCATCGTCGACCGCATCATCGCTTAACACCAGCAGCTGTAGCCAAATGCCATTTAGCGCTTGTCTACATGTAGAATAGAAAACCAAATTATATGGATTTGACGTAAATTTTGACATTTGCCAGTGTCATCTCCATACATTTTGATTTCTACTCTCTCTGTAGACAAGCGCTAAAGTGGCGTTTGGCTAAAGGCACAGGCGAGATAGTGGTCAAACGTCACCCCATCAAATAAATAAAAAAAAACATTTTTAACTAGTACGTTAAAAAAGCCGACTTCAAGCCCCTCTTTTTTTTTTGAAGTTGGTTAATTATTATACTAAAACCTCCTAAGTGTAACAAATACTTTTCTGAAAACCGCATCAAAATCGGTTCATACAATTACGAGAAAATTGTGCACAAACATACATACATCCAGGTCGCACTGATAACCTCCTTCTTTTGAAGTCAAATAATGAACAACTTTCTACCAAGTAAGCATCTACTACATATTGGTCTTCAGTTCTTAGTCAGTTAGAGTCTGACGCTCCATCCAATCATTGGAATGAGTCGTTGACGCAGTCATTTACTCCCTACAAAAGTAAACACGTGCCATATGCTATACAATACATATCTTGCAGAATCTCCAAACAAATTAGTATTTTTTTCCATTTATCATAATAAATATGACCAAACCGATATTGTTGCCGAAACACGTCTGTAGCTACATAGTTATCATTTAGGTTTTATACCAGCTTCCGGGTAGATTAACTGGGACATTTTTGTCTGTAAAGGAAGCTGTGTTTAACATACATAAAACTGAAAACCGATAAGCTTAAAACACCTATTTTAGAAAATAGCGGATTTTCAACAAAATAGCGGATTTTCAAAAAAATTTAATATTAAAATCGCGGGTAAAACTACGTGAATATACTGAGAAGCTCTACTAGTTTCGAACCAGAGGGGTTCTTCCTCATGAGCAGCGTGCGCGGTCGCGGCGATGTCGCGCAGCCTACATCGTAAGTAACCCGCGATTCTTAGTAATTTGGTATGTCTACAGTATCACGATAGTTATTATAAAAATATAGATAGATATATACAAGTTATCAATATTTTTTTAATCATGGTGTAATAAAATTAAGGTCCTGGCTGCACTGCGGCACTTGCTTGACAAAATCGCAACTCAAGTAAATTGCAAAGTCAAAACTCAAGTAAATTACAGTTTTTACTAACTTGTATAATAGTGTAATTGTATATTGTTGTACAGCATTACGTGACCCGCCTGTACCGAGTGCACGGCGCGGGCAACAGTATCCACCTGGAGCCAGTGCCCGTGCAGGCTGACTCACTCGACCCTCGCTATGTCTTCGTACTCGATACGGGACTCGTTATATACTTATGGTGAGTTCAATTTTATTTACAAAATGGTTTAACAGTTCTCTCAGACTGCCTCGTTGGCCGAGTGGTCGCAAGTGCGACTGCCGGGCAAGGGGTCTCGGGTTCGATTCCCGGGTCGGGCAAAGTATTACTGGGTTTTTAATTATTCTCAGTAGTAGCACGGAGTCTGGAATTGTGCCCGGTATATGGCAATAGGCTCACCTCCTATTACATGGGACTCATAACATAAACAGTGAAAAGTGGGTGTTACATTGTACAGTGGTATAATGTGCACCTCTGCCTACCCCTCCGGGGATAAAAGGCGTGATGTTATGTTATGTTTAACAGTTGGTTGTTGCTCTACGTATTTTACGAATTCGGTTCAAGATAAATCTTATTCATATCTGATTAAGACTCAGTGCCGACCCGAAAACTAATCGGGATGAGGTCCGGAGAGAAACAAAGAGAGTCAAAGATGTGTATGTATACTAATTACATCATGGAATTATATCTCCTCCATAATTTCAGACTTTATAAATTCAACTAAAAAAACTTCGATCATCTTGAAAGCGCTTTTAGACCTATGAGCAATCACGTAAAACCAGTAATTTTAGCGCTTGGTAATTACTGCAATATTTTAATTTTCCCGTATCCTGTATGTTCCAAATTAATTATTACATTAAAATACAATATGACGTAATTTTCCGTTTAAAATAGATCATGATTATGGACTGTTATTTATTTAACTACGGATAATATTTCTTATTTTTTAATCTGTCTGTTTCGATTATTTTGTAATAATTATGTTGAATAAAGGATTATAAAAAATATCCGTCTAAAGTTCTGAACCTTTAATAAGATTAGGAACTGCCATTTTTGTGTTTGTCTGCTATTGTCTTACATAGTAGGAGTGTTTCGAATATCTCAACACTTACATTATTTACAGGTACGGGAAAAAAGCAAAGAACACCTTGAAATCCAAGGCCCGTTTATTTGCTGAGAAGATAAATAAAGAAGAGAGGAAGAACAAGGCTGAATTGATCGCTGAACCGCCCGGTAAAGAGCCGGCCAGCTTCTGGGAGACACTCGGATATGAAGGCGACCTGCCCTATGTACCACAGGTGAGAGACATCACTCATAGTAAATGAACGTAATTCGTTTTAGACACAAATATTGAATGATGAATTAAAAAATCCTTACTTATATTATAAATCGGAAAGTGAGTTTGTTTGTTTGTTCCACCTTCACGCCGTAACTACTAGACCGATTGCTTTGAAATTTTGCAGACGTAAAGTTAGAAGTCTGGGTTAAATAATAGGGTACTTAATATCCCGAAAAAAAAAAGATATTTCCTAGTAAAAACAAAAATATTGGTATACATGGCGCTGTATATACTGGTATAGATGGCGTTGTATGTCATTTAAAACCAGTCAACGAATTACCTACTTATTGGAAAAATGTAAATAGCGCGATATAACCGAATTCCACGCGAGCGGAAAGCTATTTGTTTGTTTGCCTGTCTTAAACGGCAGAACGGAGGTACTAATTAACGTGATTTTTAACTGAAGGTAGTTGAACGGATCGATAGTCACATAGGCTACTTTTTATCCTTTTGTGACGCGAGCGAAGCCGCGGGTAAAAGCTAGTTAGTGATAAATGACTTTTACCTTTACCATTGTGCCTATAATAAATATCTTTGTAGCAGATAGACATGTCACTACGTATCGTATGTATTGATTTATTTAAAATGCTGCCTCGTTGGCCGAGTGGTTGCAAGTGCGACTCCCGGGCAAGAGGTCTCGGGTTCGATTCCCGGGTCGGGCAAACTATTACTGGGTTTTAAAAAAAAATCTCAGTAGTACCACGGAGTCTGGAATTGTGCCCGGTATATGGCAATAGGCTCACCCCCTATTACATGGGACTCATAACATAAATAGTGAAAAGTGTTACATTGTATAGTTGCATAATGTGCACCTCTGCCTACCCCTTCGGGGATAAACGTCGTGATAATATGTTATGTTACATAAAATACATATAGTCTTTGTTTAAACTTACAGCCTTTTAGGCTTTGAATATTTTTGAAATAATGAACAGAAAAGTTGATAAAGAGTCAAACTTATTACAATTCATTAGTACACCAACCAATGAGGACTTTGCAATGTAAATAATGACCTCTTGCACAACCTTCCCTTTTACTAAGACTCACTTTCCCTTATCACAGGAGCATGTATCAGCAGACTTCACGTGGGCGGGCGCTCGTCTATACCGCGTGGAGCTGGGCATGGGGTACCTGGAACTGCCACAACCGGAGAGCTCGCCCCTCGCACGTGGTATACTACTCACTAGGAACGTCTACATACTCGACGCACATGTCGATGTATTCGTATGGTACGTAGATCTTACTATATCTGTTAGACCCAGTCACAGTCACAAAATTCTAGATTTTTATGCTACAAGGGGCAATAAAGCAAATGGAACACCTGATGGTAAGCAAGCAGCACCGTCCATTTTCAGTTGGAAATGATGTTATTATCTTAGTTTGAAAGCTGTACTGGCCGACTACCATGACTTTCGCTGTATACAAAATTAGCTTTTCACCTGCATCGTCTGCGTCCCTATTTTTATATAAAAATATTTCTGTAGATTTTGAATTATATTTCGGTCAAATAGAGGCGACAGGACACCTAGTTTTGTAATGTGAAAGGATAATATTTTAACATTTTTTAATATATATCACTTTACTTTAGGTTCGGCAAGAAGTCGTCTCGTCTAGTACGCGCAGCGGCGGTCAAATTAGCACAAGAGTTATTCAACATGGTGGCCCGTCCTCCGCACGCACTCGTCACACGACTGCAAGAGGGAACTGAGACACAGGTACGTATCTACTTAATACTTTTGGTTTATTTCACATAGAAAGAGAGACCTTTGCTATTTAAAGTTACTAAAGAACACATGAAGCTGGATTATTATCTCCTTTTAGATAAAAAAGCGTCAGCCATATTCTTAGCAAGCAGGTTGGATTTTGCAGTTTAAAAGATTCAAGATGTTCGTGAAATGTATAGTTCCGTAATCGGTTCTAACGCCACCAGTAAAAAACGTGGGGGTTAACTAACGTATTTCTACTCTGCCATCAGTATGCGACACCAGATGAAATTATGTTAAAATATATATAAATAAATTAGTAATTTATATTCTATGTTCCGCTCCAAAGGTGTTCAAGACGTACTTCCTGGGTTGGGAGGAGGTGATAGCAGTGGACTTCACTCGTACCGCGGAGTCAGTCGCGAGGACTGGTGCCGACCTCGCTAGCTGGGCCAAACAACAAGAGACTAAGTATGTTTATGTCATTAATTGAACATTATGATTTAATTTTCTTGTTCTTAAGGTATAAACATATCCTAAAAATAACTTCTACATTCATTTATTTTATTACTAGGTTGTACTATTACTATTGTACTATATTAAGTCCGAATAAATTAAAAGACAGAAAATTTATCTACCCAACACAATTGTGAAAAAAACAAACTTTATAATCATTTTATCGATATCTTCTTATAAACAGTTTAAACTTCTTTAAAGACATAAAACAATGATTATTATGATATAATTATTTCAGTATAGTGCCATATAATATTCTTCTAATACAAACGTGTATTTCCAGAGCGGACCTCTCAGCATTATTCACTCCTCGGCAACCAGCGATGGGGGCTGCAGAGGCTAAGACTCTAGCAGACGAGTGGAACGAGGACCTGGAGGCCATGGAAGCATTCGTCCTGGAGGGAAGACACTTCGTGCGACTGCCTGACAACGAGCTCGGAGTCTTCCACAGCTGTGACTGCTACGTCTTCCTCTGCAGATATGTGTTGCCTGCTGAGGTACGATATCTTTGTTTGGTAACATTTGTATGACATATTTTCTGTTAGTTCTTAATTTTAGGTTCTGGTACAAATTTTGTTCTATGATACGAGCGAGAAGCTTGTGAGTACTTACCTATCTAAAATTTGTGAGTGTCTTATCGAATTACTTACATCCTTTTCCTACCGCCTCGTAGATCATTAGTTTCTGATCCGAAATCAATTGATATTGTATTTTATAATTTTTAGATAAAGTGTATTTTTAAAATCTAAACTACCTTTTAATCGGTTCAATTTCAATCAATTTTGATGACAAAGAAGTACAGTAGGTTTTATATTAATTCGGAATAGCTTAAATGAACTTCTACCATTCTAATAGCCGGAAGACGAGACTGACGCGACGAATCCATGTGAGGACGACTCGGAATCTGAAGCGGCGACGTGGGTGGTGTACTTCTGGCAAGGACGTCGCGCTCCCAACATGGGCTGGCTCACCTTCACCTTCGGACTGGAGCGCAAGTTCAAACAACTCTGCAAGAGGCTCGACGTCGTCAGAACTCACCAACAACAGGAGAGTCTCAAGTTCATGGCTCACTTCCATAGGCGGTTCATCATTAAAGATGGCAAGAGGAATCAGAAGCCGGTATGTTATTTTTAGTGTTTATTGTAATATTGCTGTTCTCTTGTCATAGTTAAAAATATTATGTCTGTCTTATAGTCTTTATGATTGTTTAGGGCCATTATTTAATCGTGTCTCAGTCACATCTGATTTCGTTCAACATACATAAACATAACATCAAACCTTCTATCCCCGAAGGGTACTATAACACCCACTTTTCAGTATATTTTCCTTCAAGTTTGAAATATTAAGGATATTTTTTTTTTCAAAATCGCCTTTATTCCATTTCACTTGATTCCATTTGAAGTATTTTACTATGGCATCATAATACAAATATGTTTCCAACTAGGAGAGCGGTCGCCAGCCGGTAGAACTATACGAGCTGCGAAGCAATGGATCGGCGCTGTGCACGCGACTCGTACAAGTCAAGGCAGACGCTTCACAGCTCAACAGTGCTTTCTGGTAAGTCGCTGACTATGAAGCCCACACATAATTTCAAAGTTAAAGCATTTATGTAAAATTACTCATTTTGAAACGTCGAATGGAATTGTCCGTTAGTTGTCTGTCAGCGAAGCTAGGTGCTCGTTGCAAAGTGAGAAAGTGAAACAAATGGAGAAGAACGAGAAAGAAATTGAATCTTGACTCTTTTAAAAAATGTTTTTTACATTTTCACAGATACATTATATGACCCTTTAACATACATAATGGCTACTACCGCACGGTTTCACTCGCTACTCAGCTCTTATTGAGAGTAGTGTGATTTTTATGGTCTATCTATAGCCACCTTCAATAAATTTATTATACCAGGGCATATTAACCTTTTCGCCGCCAACAACTTCTATAGAAGTTCAGGATTTTCGTGCCGTCCACGCCACTACTTCTATAGAAGTTCATTGTATCTACCTACTATAAAAAATACATTTACGATACATAAAACATTTGTTTCTTTGTAATTTTGTAATATGGACACGACGAACTATTTTTTCTCATGCAAAACAGACTATTTTCTGTTTTAAAAAGGTAAAACATAAAAGGTTTCAAATAATTTTATATCCCGCACGCCAACGACTTCATATCAAGTAGGCCAGTGATGTGACGCGTAAGGAGCATTCATTAGAATCTTTATTTACTATAATATTTGTTTTCTTTTCCATCCAATAGTTTTTTGAATTCTATGAATAAAAAGAAATTCCGGTCAGTAAATAACGTATTACAATGCGTTTCAAAATTAATGTACATCTACCTATCAAATCATTTCATTAAAATTAATTATTATGTACTGAGGGTTTTCGATATTGCTAGACCCATCTCTACGTAATGGCAAGATGTCGAGTGACACTAGCGCCGTCAACTTCAATAGAAGTAAACCTGTGACGTCGTAAGCGCTTAGGCGTCAAGGTCATTGTGTCATAGTTCCGGGCGACGCGTGCACGCACATTTTTCTTTCCCAGTGCAGTGCAAAATGACCGAATATGATTCGGATGAGTTGTTGCGGCTGTTACAAGGTGTGGAACCTGATTGCGACTAAAAAATTTGTGATCGACTCAGGTCTATATTTGTTCGCCGACACAGCTAAAAGTTTGCGAAACCGAGAGCCGCAACGAATAGGTATTTTATGACTACCTAATATCCATCAAACGTGCCAGTTTTTCATTTGCATTAAATGAAAAATAAGCTATTAAAGTTTAGTACATCTGTATTAAAATAGTTACTTACCATCCATTTCCAAAACTACACATATGTTGCCACTTTTAATCACTACAAACAATGTTCCTGATCGTGACCTGACGTTAGATTTTAAATGTAAACTAAAACCAAAAGCAAACCAAACTCGATAGAAAGAAAGAAAAGCATAGACAACTATTCCTTACGAAATGTATCGTGCTTTGAACGCCAATGACTTGATATGAAGTAAACAGACTACGTTATGAAATGAATAGTGAAGTGGCTAATGTTACGAATTATTATTATTATCTCTAGCAACTCTATGCATGTATCTTCATCTCTGATAACGGATACCCATTTTTCTTAGTATAAATGTTCATAAAATAAAACAAATTACCATTATAACTTAACAGTTTGTATTTTTAATTGTAAATTTGAGTACCAATTTAAATTTACACATATTTTTTTTCATTATCGACATGATGTTACCGCCATCCCTACTTTCGTACTATACATTTATACGTTGGCGTACGGCGACACATCGTGTTTAGTATAGCTGGGCGGCGAAAAGGTTAAACAGATCTCCAACCCGTCTGCTTAGTGTGAAGATTATGACAAGAACCTCTACTATTTTAATGGAACTTCACAGTGCAGTAGTGGACTCTAAAATAAGTATCGTAACGCTCGACCATATTCCAGCTACATCCTAAACGTGCCGCTAGAGGGCGCTAACGACACGTCCTCGGCCATCGTGTACGCGTGGATAGGCAGCAAGAGTGACGCAGACTCCGCGCGACTCATCGAACAAATTGCTGAGGAGAAGTTCAATAACCCTTGGGTTAGCTTGCAGGTAATGACTACAAAAAATCAATAACTATACGACTATTGTTATTTTATGACATTTTAGGACACTGCAATGTATCAATCGATAAGTCGGATCCCTTAATTTTAAAATGAGGAAACATATATTTAAATTATGGCTATCTGGTTCGAGGAAAATACAGATGTAGTGTACCTATTATTACATCATTGTAATGTAAGTAATAATAATAATTACTTATGTTAAAAACAGGTGATAACAGAGGGCAGCGAGCCTGACAATTTCTTCTGGGTGGGTATCGGCGGCCGCAAGCCGTATGACACGGACGCAGACTATCTCAACTACACCAGACTGTTCCGATGCTCCAACGAGAAGGGATATTTCACTGTGTCTGAAAAATGTACCGATTTCTGTCAGGTAATCATGGTTTTCTGTTCAAAACTCTTATAGTGGAATTGTATCAATGTCCTCTGCTGGGCATAAGCATATAAAATTATACATAGCATAACCCCCAATCCTGCGTACTCTGGCACTCCTCCGTGTATCTTGTCTCGCTGCCGATACAGTTATTTATGTATTATTTATTGAGCTTTTAAAAACAATAATCATTACTGAACGAGTTATTATAGGATAGAGAATTTGAAGTTGTGTGATATGTGTAAAATAAATACAAAAATAATAATTTGTGTGTCTAGGATGATCTGGCTGACGACGATATAATGATATTGGATAACGGCGACCAAGTGTTCCTATGGCTTGGTGCCAAGTGCTCAGAAGTCGAGATAAAATTGGCGTACAAATCTGCACAGGTAATTATTACATGTATTGTTAAGAAAAACCCAAAAATGCATTATTTTTTATATTATTTCTTCTAATAACAATACTTGATATAAATAAAAACAAACTTTTCTATTTTACAACAACCAAGGTCTACATCCAACACATGAAATCTATGCAACCGGACAAGCCACGCAAGTTGTTCCTGACTCTCAAGAATAAAGAATCGCGGCGGTTCACCAAGTGCTTCCATGGATGGGGAGAACACAAGAGACCTCCTGAATAAGTAACTCTATAGATCTGTATAAGCCAACGATTAGTAACCACTACGGCAGAAGTACATTAGCGTGGCGCAGAGTGTCGTGGCACGCCAGAAGCAAATTCATTTCATACACTTACTGTTAGGTTGATATATCATACCCAAAAATTTGTTCATACAAAAGTAGTCACGAAACATCGGAAATAAGGTCCATAATGGAGTTAGTGAAGAGTGGTCACTGGTGACTGATTGGGGATTGATTGAACAGATAAGGTTAGAGACACATTTATGTCGTGGCGTGTCGCGTGGACCACCAAATGCTTGTGCCCACGAGGCGCCCGGAATCGCCACTCCACGATAATGTATTTCTACCTTTAGAAATGCCTATACCGATTTTTCTTTTTCTATGAGTGAGTTTAAGTACTTTAGTTACTAAGTGAAATCAAGGCACACATTTTAATAAAAAGACAAGCCAATGTTCCTTATGTCACCCAAACATATTGGACTTATTTTGATATTAAATAATATTAACATGAATGTCATTAAATTCATAATAACATTATTTTATAATATGAAATCAGTATTCAGTAGTTGATATTTGTTTTAACTAGTATTGTTGAAGCTTTGAAGTTTTTATAAACACATTTATAGCAGTGTCAATAACAGAAATGTGCAATAACAAGTACTACACGTAATTATTGTGAATGTTGTGCTTCCAGATAGACATATACAAGGGAGTTTAATTTTGATATAAATTGTATCACTGCTCATGTTTTAGAAACTCTTACTTTGTTTTCTTGACTCTTGTTCTCTCTCCTTTGTCACCTCATCTTTGCAGTAGAGAATTATGTGGTTTGTCAAAAATGAAAGACTGAATCATGCCATTATTTCATTTATTTGAACATTCATCATGAAGTATTAAGCACAAGTGTTTTATTGCTACATATGTGAGAGTAACCTCTGACTAGATTAGCTGAGATTGCCTTGTGTGTGTTACTCCTTTGACAAATGAAACATGCATTTTTTTGTAATGCATTTATTAATGTCACATGATTTGATTGATGCATATTTAATTTAGCTGTATATAGAACGCTATTTTATATGATCACAATGTAATGTATTTATGTAAATCATGTAAATAAGAGATTTTTAATATAATAAAATCCATAAATTAAACAAAATTCCTAAGTATTGTGTACAATGCTATTTTGATGTTGAGCACAAAATTTTAATGTTTTTGTAACAATCCTTATAATAAAATATAACAATAAACATGATTCTTATTTATTATAAACCCGCATTAATATAACACTATCTGAAACAAAATTGTTATTACATTAATTAAACAGATGATAATTAAACTACAAGCACTTTATTTAGAGATAGTAAACTACACTCAAATGTAAAGGTAAAGTCATACACAACAGTAGTGTACCTGATTATCTTAATCATCGTCGTCGTCGTCATCGGAGGGAACGAACAGTTCGTTCTCTTCCAAGAAATTGGCTATGTTTTTACTAATGGCTGCTCCGATGAGCAAACCTGGCACTACGGCCAACACTATACCTACAAGACCACCAGGGGTCTTCTCTGGCTCAGGTAAAATAGCACCAGTCGGTGTGGTTGTAGCAGTCCTCCTTTGTACGACGTTCTCGATTTTCGTCAGATTTCTTGATTGCACCACCAACCGAGACAATCGAAGAATAGCCATTTTGTTGAAATAAAATAGGTATTTTGTATTAGATTATTTTTAGCAATAATTTCTTTTGCAGTCTCAGACAGACGATGTCTGTTCTTTTGACAATTGAATTGACTGATGTGACATATGACAGTGATATAATAAATGTCAGCACTATGTACCATACCAGCTGTACCAGTACCGTTGATGTAAAATGAAAAAAATCGCTCTATCAAACTAATAAATTAATTGCTATGCAAAGAAAATATCCCATTGTGCAGTAATTTTGATGATGTGTAAATACAATCGATATTTAAGGTGGAAATCAATAACTAGGGCATATAATTGAGATTATGTTCACTCAAGCAATAGGCAGAATTATAACTTGCAACACTGACACAGAGTCGAACCAAAATGTCAACTTGATCTGAAACGAAATGAAACAAAATTTTTATTCTAATTTATTTATATTTCACAAAAACTGTGTTTTCCTGTTATAAAAAATGAACGTCACTTTAATCAGTTTAGAAGCGTTAATTTGTAAGTAATATATGAGTGGATTACTCTATTTTATGAGAAAGTTTTGACTTCGTAATGAGAATGTATTTGTTATTCGTTTTAGTAAAAGCTACTCACGAATCTCTACCATGTCCGGACGCTGCGGCGTTGGAGGCCTTTTGTGCAGTGATGAAGGATGCTACGGAAGGGGCGCAGCTGGCGGCACAAGCTCTGGCGGCCCGCATACACACTCCTAATGCTCGCGAAGCTCTGCTCGCTCTCTCGATGCTAGATCGCTGCATGCGACGTTGTGATGCCGGTTTCCACGCAGAAGTCGGCAAATTTCGCTTCCTCAATGAGATGATTAAGTTAGTTTCGCCTAAATATTTTGCTGATCGAACTTCCCCTGAAGTACGGACAAGGGTAAGATCACATTTGTATTAAAAATAATCTTTGAATTAACTTTGTTTATAAATTTCAAATTAAGTGGCTGAAGCAGTGTGTACTACTATTTGTTTCAACATATTACCTTTACGGTAGTAGGGTTACATTTAGTTTGTTCTCATAATTATTTGTGTAATTAAACATGTGTTTTACTTTGTATAGTTGGTATTTCAAATTATTATATTTGTCCTTGTATTTGTGGCTTTAAGGAACATAGTTCTACTACCTTAACAGCTATTTTTCCTTATGAAATTTTATTAAAAAACATGTTTTATACACTATGTGTAACAACTATTAACTTTATCACCATCATCATTTTTATAAAGTGATAAGACTGGTGTGATAATAATAATTTTGTATATTGATCAATGTTTTCATATAGGCTCGAAAATGGATAAAATGTAACTATTTCAACGTCATCATAGAGACACTTAAATGCATAAAGGATACATAATAAAAAAAAAAATGTTGTTTGTAAAGATTTTATTTATATTTTTTTAGGTTTTACAATTACTTCATGCATGGTCAATTGAGTATCCAAAGGAGTCTAAGTTTAAAGTTGCATATGATATGCTGAAGAACCAAGGTGTGGTGAAGGAGACGCCCCCTCCTTTACCTCCTGAAGATGTGGTGCCTCCTCGTAATAGAGCCAAGAATGCAATCTTTGAAGATGAGGAGAAGTCTAAATTGTTACAAAAATTGCTACAGAGCAAAAAGCCTGAAGATCTCCAACACGCTAACAGGCTCATCAAAACTATGGTTAGAGAAGTAAGTATGACATATAATTATAATAAAATTATTAATGACTTTAGTAATACTACCTGTATAATTATAAGGTTAATTGTATTAATATAATGCAACCATTTATAACCATCTGCAATATTTAATAATATTTATTCACACTCCAAGTATCAACATTTATTGAATATTGTAGAAAACAACAAAATAATTGCCATGCTTACTTATTTGAGCTTCCTTACGCCCGAATACTGAAAGGCTACTTAATTTTATATCTCTGTCATTTTACAAAGAATTTGTAGCGGAACTATACTTAAGCACAACTTAAAGTTGAGTGTGTTTGAGTATTTCAACATACGTGTATCAAAGAGATATCAAGTCAATTTAAATTCAATAAATTCATAATTATGAATTTGTATTTGTATTAAGAAAGATATTTCATCATGACTCTAATGGAACTTAAGCTTACTGAAAATGTTTATACATTATCATTCATGGGTAGTGTAAACATGTATCTTATTATACATATCAACTGGTGTTTTCTAACTCCTAGGAAGAGCGTCGTAATGAAGAAAGCAGTCGTCGCGCCCAAGAAGTGGGCAACGCTTTAGATAGCGCAGAACTACTTAAAGAACTGCTTGCAAACGCTGAAGATGCATCTCCAGAGGAAGAACAGTTGATACATGAGCTGCACATGTCTTGTGGGACTTTACGCTTGGCACTTCAACGTCTGGCTGCCTCGGAGTCCCAGCCTGACTGTCTCAGTGAGTGGACCGGTTTGTTACTTCCATCATTATCATTGTAATGTGTGTTGTGTCTGTCCGTTTGTCTGTTTCTTGTCATTATTTTCAGTACATTTTATTTGCTGTATTACAGCTACAAGCTTATTTTGTAAATGTGAATATGTTTTGTCTATTGTTTTATGTAATGTTCCGTGTTTGCATGGTAAAGTAGTACCTATAATTTTTTAACAATTTGCAATGGCTTAAGTCTTATTTAAAATTGTTTCTGGTACTGGCTCGTTGGTCGAAAAATTCCTGTTCTCAGAACCATCCTCCCTTAAAAATGGACACTAAATAACAACTGTTAATTAAATAGTCAAGAAGAAAATATCATTATGTCATTGTATATATTGAATTAATCAAATTACCTTAGTCATCTGTTCATCTAATTAGATGTATTAAATTCTGTCTAAGGTGATTAGTATGTATTTTGTGTATAATTATACACAATACACATACTAAATGAAGGACACGGTTGGTACGGTGGCTGGACAACCGACTGCCGCGCAATGTGTCGCGGTTTCGATTCCCGCACGGAACAACTCTGTGTGATACACTACACAGATTGTTGTTCCGGGTCTGGGTGTCATGTGTATGTGAACTTGTAGTTTGTAAACGCACACTTACAACACCGGAGAGAATCCAAATGTTTAGTGTGGGGCAACGTTTAAAAAAAAGAAGGTTGTCAGATTATCAAAGATGACAAAGGAAGTCAAAACTGCATTGTACAATCAATGGGAATATTCATGTTAGCCGACGACAGTAGGTAATACTACTGCCATAAAGTAATCTGAAAGCACACAGATAGTACATGTCATTGTGTCCCACTGATAAGCTCAGCTCAGTAGCTCTTATCTTGAAGCTCTCTTTACAAACTTACTGTGTTACATAATATCACGTCAGGTAATCCCTAGCCTAGAGAGTAGCTAAAGATAGGGGGTTAGTGATCTCATGATTTAATTACACTAAAATAATATACTTACTCATCTTTTAGTAGTTTGTATTAATTGGGTACTTGTCTTCATCAAAAATAAATTATTTCGACTGTTGAATACAATAAAATATTAAAAAATTCTTTCACTTTCATTAATTGATTTTATGACCAACTTAATTTTAGTATTTTGCCAACATTTTTTTAGGAAATAAGTATGCCGTTTGACGCTAATAAAACGTGACGACACAATTCATAATCTTGTAAAAAATTCGTAGAAAATTGTCGTTTTTGTCAATTCGGAAAAAGTATTGAAATTGAATAAGACTAGTTGACAAGTACCCAATTAAGTAGTCTAATGGTGGAATCTGTCTAGTATTTTTTTTCTTAATATTGATCCATCCAACCTATAGTTTCAATTGGTTGTTAAATATCACTAGATATTGGTTTAGATTCGGTTTGACCACGTTGTACCTCTAAACCACAACACGCCTAAAAGAGATGTTTCACGCTTTCAGAAGCCACGGCATCGAAGTTATGCTTCGATGCAGCTAAGTCGATGCTAAATCCCTAAAAATAAAATTAATTTTGTCTCATTTTTATATTATTTTTTCCAAATTTTAGATGATATACTACACGCCAGCGAAGTTTTAGACGATGTTTTCGAGAAGTACGACGCATATTCCAAGTTTACAAAGGAAAAGAAGAAAAATCCAAATGCCAAAATTTCTAGCACGGATCAAGCGCAAAGTTCAAATAGCGATAGCTTACTGGATTTCGCTGGCAACTTGGGGAAGGGAGATGACGTCACAGTGCTCCCTGGCAGTTCCAAAAATACTACTATTGATGAACTAGGTGATATCTTCTCGACTGGAAGTGAGACAAGTATTGTGGAACCGCTCAAACCTGTCAACTTGATGCCTAGTGGTAATTTTTTTACTTAATTTGTCAACTTTAAATGTGAAAATACAAATTTATGCTTTAATTTAGTGCTGAGCCTACGGCGCGTCGCGTTGCGCGCGCGTTCAAAGTGCCATCAGACCACCACGGATGGGACCCAATAGGGCTGATGCCGATACGGATTCGCGGAGAACCTAACGGGTTACCGGTGCTCCGGCTCGAAATGCAAGAGTAGGAACGGGGTGGTTTTACATTTTTATTAGAAGAGTTTGATACTCCCTCCTCACTCCAGGCGGGAGAAGTCATTCGATGATCTCTCCCCCCCCCCCCCTTAACAACTTGCTTTAATTTAGTTTAAGTACAGCTGTTTTTTATCTACTATTTATTAAAATATATAATTATAGGTAGTTATGTACCTAGTATGTACCCAGGATGTGTAGACGAAATTCCGGTCTTTGCTTTCCTAAGGATTTCGAAATGTTTTTTATGTTCTTGACCACTAAACCTAGCAAGTTTTTTAACTATTTGTTTTAAGTTTGTTACAATAACTACCGTGAGACATGCTGAATTAACTTAAAATTACGAGTTACTCACGTAATTATACTGAGTATACGCGGTAATGTAGAGTAGGCTGCGTGACATCGGCCACGATCACGAATTTTTAGTTAATTTATTTATTTTTACTTTTGCAGAGGATGTAGATCTTCTAGGAGACAAACCCAGTAAAGCTGAAGGATGGAATGAACTGGATTCGCTTGGGGAACAACTCATCAAACAGTCCCTACCTGACCATATCAAGCGGCTGGAAGGATTCAATGGGTAACAGTCGTTTTGTATTCATGTCAACTGATTAGGATTTAATATTTTTTATTTATTTACTGACGACCCTTCCTCGACTAATCGAAAAATAAATTCTATTACAGTAAAACATTAAAGAAAATACCAATGAACGCATTATCTTCACCTAAACATGAGGTCGCGCCGACAACAACAACAACAAACGGCGCTCTCTTCGACTTAGACTTTTTCACCAAAAAGCCGGAGGAGCAGTCCAAACCTGCGGAGCCAGCTAAAGTGTTGAGCAAGCCATCATCACCGCCTGATGACGTCATAGTAGACATTACTGACGGGCCGAGCACCTCAGCTGCTACTACAAACCTTACTGAATCTCCCGTTGACAACATATTGGACTTAAGTATATCTCCAGAAGAAAATAAACCTAAGAACGCATCCCCTACTAAAAGTATCGAATCTACTGAAGAAAAGAGAGAAAAGACTAAAATTGAAGTGAAACCGTTGACGGATATAGACGTATCCTTGTCAAATGTAACCCCGAGCAATGTTCCTCCAATGACGATATTTGAAGAACAAAACGGTCTGACAGTAGTGTTACACTTCTGCCAAGATAAACCAAGGCCTGACGTCAACGTTGTAGTGATATCTACGACGAACAAAAATAAGAAGCCTATTGTAGATTTTAGGTTTCAAGGTGTGGTTCCTAAGGTATGTTACATTGCTTGTCAAATTCTATACAATCTTTTACAGTTATTGTCTACTACATAACTAATTAGACCTGTGTTATATGTAACGTCAACCATAGTAACTGTTATTCCAATATAACTCTTGAATATATTATCGACTTTATTCTAAAACAGTAAAGTTGAGAATCGATCAAGATACACATATATTATAGACCCTACAGATTAAATATATACACTAATTGAACTATATTTTACAGTGTTGTAAAGTTCGTCTGCTAACGCCGTCGGGTACGACTCTGCCCCAGTACAACCCGTTTCTCCCGCCGCCGGCCATCACGCAGGTCATGCTGATAGGCAGGCCTGCGTCCAAGCCATCAGTCGACCTTCGGTTCGTCATCTCTTACACGTGTGATGACGACACCTGCTCAGAGATCGGCGACGTCAAAGATCTGCCATTAGACCAAGTATAGTGTGTTCAAATTAAACATCAATCCATACTTATCATCGCTGAATGCTTAATTATGTAATGTACTGTAATTTAAGCTTTGTAACGGTGGTACATTAATGATTCTCAGCGCCAGTAGCTACTAACTACTGAGTACATAAATACTTTGTTTATTTTGACTGAGTGATATGTATATTTTAAAATATCGTGTAATTGAATGTATAATTGTTTCTAGTCGAGATTTTTACTGAATTATAAATTATAATTATCGGAAAAAGCATTTATTTAACATTCCAATATTTACTTATTGTATTCAAATATTACTATATTATTATGTACTTAATAGGTATCTTTTTTTACAAGTTGTGATTATAAAGTGAAATCGTTAGGAAATTCGTAAACATTGCAGTGTTTACTGAGATCTGTAATTAGCACAGTATTATATTAGTATATTTGTAATAAAGGAAGGTTGGAGGTGTACTTACTGTGTATTTTATGTTGCGATTGTATGTACAAGAATTAGGATAATGTTTGTGTTGAAGCACCATCATAAACCGTAAAGTGCAATATAACCCTACAATAAATGTTTTATTTCATTTTCAAATATGTGTATTTTATATTTTCTCCATCCAATAGCTTGGTAAATAATAAACTAAGCTTCAATATTTTGTATATTTTGTGATCGGCACTAATATCTTATTAAAGGAAAACTGCATTTATAATATAGTATTTTATTTTATAATATAATCAATGGCGAGTCTGTTATATTTACATAGTAAATGCATCAAACACAGAAGTATGGATAGAAAAATACAAACGAAGCCTGAGCCTAAACGACAAAACAAAGAGATTTCCTTAAAATCCGGACAACACCATCAATGATACTGCTGTCCGCGTAATATTTTTTTAAGCTGTGTCTTGAGGCCTAAGTACACACGGCTACACATCGAGCTTTACATAACCAGTATAACCTGAACGTTAAATGGGCGGAAAGATGATGCGACGCGAAACCAGGATAAACTGGTTTTGTATAGATTGATGTGTGGCCGTGTGTACGAGTTTGGTTTACGTTTAAAGTAATCGAAACGAGTAAGTGTTCGGCGTTGTGATTGGCCGACTCTCATTAACAAACCAATCGGAGAGCTGAAGGCAGTCTCGTTTCAATTAGTCATAACGTAAAACTTGTACTAAGGCCTCTGTCCTGGTTTACATCTAAATAAGTAAATACAAATTTAATCTAATTCATCTTTCTTCGTAAGACTAAATTATGTATTTGGCTTTGTTTTGTCAAAGTATTTTCCAAGAAAAGAGTACAAAATTTTCAACTTAAGAGAACATATCGCTAATCTAGTAACACATTATTTACAAATATACAAATGCTAAACAGTAGGTACCTAGGAAGCTATTGTTGCTAAACATGTTTATAACCAAATGTAGGACCAGTTTTAAATTCTGTAAATAGGTAGACATTATCCACCAATTACCTAATTAGGTTATAAACATAGACTTACAACCAGCTTTATTGTGTCTGATTAAGTTTAAGTTGCTGTTAAACACATTTCATAAGGACAATATGTCAAAATATTCATTATGTACACAGCCCTGCAGGACCAGGATCCAGACTACACACCTTCAGTTAAAACTGTACAGTTCAATTGTTTGCTGTTCACACCTAACAACTTGTCGATACAGTTAAAACTGCAGTAATGTGTGTAACATGCATTAAACTATTTCTTGATTACACTATGAAACGGGCAGTTTGACACAACATGACATGGCATATAAAAATAGCAAAAATAAATAATAACCCTTCATGACAGTCTGTTTAAAAGGAACAGGTTGAATTACAGACCATTTTCCGAGGAAACCTCTGTGGAAATTAATGGCACTAATAAATGCATATAACCTATCAAACGATTTGAGTCGAGTCATAATATTAATCAGACACTTGTGAGAAACAATATTCGTCATAAAATAATTCATGTACAATTTTCTTAATTTAAAGTTAACATTAAACTGCCTGGTCTCTGAAGGCAAGAGCAGTGATGGCTTTCTGATGTCCACAATATTCTCTCTCTAGGGTGCCCTTTTCAACGTCCCAGAGTCGGGCGTAACTGTCTGAGGAACCTGGAAAATAGAAAAAAATGAGTATTTAAGTCCTCCCCATTACATGGAAAGCTAGTGTGTATTGAGATCACACTACTAAGTACTGGCTACTCCCACGCGGGTTCACTGGCTGCTTGTGTGGCTGGTGGGCTCCTAGTGATTGCAGCGTGATGTTTGATACTTTTCATAGCCTTCGTATATCCTTTAAATGGACTATCCAACACAAAAAAGGATTTTAAATTCGAACGATCGAACCAATAGTTCCGGAAATTAGAAATTATTATAATGAAGTTTAAATTACATCAAATTAGGGAACTGTACTAACAAGTCTAGTTTTGAAATTAGAATTATTTCGTGAAGTTCTAAAAACTAATAAACTTACCCGTGAAAAGGTATCGCGAGTCGATACTGAAGGCTGCATCCCACACCCACCGTTGTGTATCATTGCGCAGTTCCCGTAACAGTGTCCAGTCGCTGGTCCGCCACACTTTAGCTGAACAATCGCCAGACGTCGTCACAAGCATTCTGGTGAAGAAAACAAAATATTAAAAAAATATATCATCATCCACTATTTTTCCGTTACACAATTATTATTTTTCTTTTATAAATTGACAACACTTACAAACAGTTGTCAAAAATTTTCAAATTTGATTTTTCATGTCGAAACTAGTTTAAAAACTTTGATAAAGTTTGTTTTGTAAACTTTCCTAGATTATTATAATGATAAGTGAGTAATTTAATGAGCCGAAATACTGGAGAACGTACCTATCCAAAGTTCGTGATATAATATTTATCTACAGGATATTTATTCGTTTGTTCGTACAAGACCGCCATTAAAATCTAAATGAATTTTTCGTAAACTGTAAGTACCTACACATTAATTTCGTCGATTTTGCTTTAATTCAAATATCGGTCAGTGAGTATCCTTAAAGAAATTTACAAGGATTAATTAAAATACGAATTAAGACGTTGATCGATGATTTATATTTCTACTCGGCAAGTTACCTTCAGCTATATTTTTATAGTGTGGGTAGTGATTTTACTAAGATACTGCATTTTGATTTAGGTTTTCAATAAAGCAGGTGTCTATTCGTATTTTATTCCAGAAATTCTTCAATATAAATCTGTTTTGTACTCACGTAGAATCAAGGCTGAACTTGCATCTGAGAGCATATTTAGAATGTGCAACAATGTGTTTGAGTGGTACGGGATGTGGGGCTGCGCCTCCCAGTGACCACACATAGCAGTTGCCCTTGTTGTTCACTGCAGCCATCATCTTGCCTTCTGGGTCAATTGCTATATCCTGGATTGACGCTTCAGCGTCTGGTATCTGCAAAAATATTATAGTGTCAGCTTGTGTTAGTATATGCATAAGTCACATTCTCTTACAATATTTCAGAAATTCTATTCAATATCTTCTAAATTCCTCAAAGAACCAAACAAGGCTCTGTAATTAGAAGTTTCAGCTGTCCTTTGTTTAAACTGTCAAACACCAAGCGGTCACCGGTGACCGCAACCTATTGTTCTTTAATTGTGTCTATAATGACGGTACTCGACGAGTTAATAAAGTTACTAGTAATACTATTTATTTTGTTTAAAATTTAAATGGAAAAAAGAAACTACATAGTTTTTGCTTTTTTAACACTTTTTTTACTTCTTACCAACTGTTCATTCTGATCAGTCCGAAGGTCCCACATGTGTATTATGCCACTTTGGTCGCCAACCATAATCTGTGTCTGATCGGGATGCAATGTAACAGTATTAACAGGAGCTTGCACTTGGAATATCTTTGTGCAACGGAACTGTGGTGCAGCCCTGAAAAATAGTTAGGTTCAAACTCCTATTTAAATTGTTTTGATCTATGAGTTTTTTTATAAAGTTACAGTTGTCTTTTCAACTCCAACATTGACAAAAATGTTGTCTTCTGCTGTTGCTAATCACCATTTCAATTTTTATATTTGTGACATCAATGGATATATTTTAAACTTTTCAAAAATATTGTTTTAAAACATTTAGTTGGTTGAATGGTTGTATATATATTAAAGGGTGCCTTGTTACCTTGGATCCCATATCCTAGCTGTCCAATCTTCACCACCGGTGTACATCCAAAGGTCATTTTTCTAAAAATAAAATTATTTTTATTTTTGAAATTGTTTGAGGACTCTTATTTTTTGGATGTTCTGCTTATCTTTTTGCTTTACAAACTGCTATAGGTGTTATTTTCAACCTCTTTAGAGAAGGGTACTGGAACTTTGACTTTAGAAATAGTTTTCTTGATAAAATATATTTCAATTAAACTGTCAAACACCAAGCGGTCACTGGTGACCGCAACTGTACTCGACGGTGTGTCTATAAATACGGTACTCGACGAGTTAAGCGCAGATTTTTTAATCTTAATAGTAGAATAAAATTTACACACACACTGACAGTTTTTAGTATGGAAGAATTGTTAAGTATTCAAAGTTATACCTAAGATAAAATTTAACTTGTGTTGGAAAAATCAGCTGTAAGCTAGAAGACAAGAAATGAAATTCTTCAATAAGATTAAATTGTATCCTTTAAATCAAATTTTATGATGTAGTTGAACTTACTTGAAATCCAACTCTGGCAACATTCTTCGTAATTCCCTCAAAATTGACAACAGGGTCTGGGTTGGCACTGGCTAAGTCATACATGCGAATGTGCTGGTAGCCGCACGCTGCTACCATCTGTCCAGTTGGAGATATCTCTAGCCCATTCACTTGCTGCAAGCAAATTAGCATTTTCAGTTGTTGTAGTGTTCATTTAAGGATATACCTATATTTTTATGATGTATTAGGCTGAATATGACAATTATAGTTCGTAACTAATATTAAAGACTTACGGAATCAGGGTGCTGCATGGTCCGTAAACAGACGCCACTGTGTGCTTGCCATAACTTGATTGTATGATCATAGCCTCCGGTCACTAGGGCCACCGCCGACCCACCACCGCCACTACCGTCCCCCGACATACCTGCACTTACTACACGCATTGTATTACAAAAACATTCATGATACCATTTTATTAGCAACGCATAACCTCAAAATACCTTTTGGTTAGATCACAATAAGAATAAAATTTTTGTCATGTATGTTTTAGTTTGAGAGTTTCAAATTATATTCTTGTCTTAGTAAAACCGTTTAATCACTTTATTGTTATGTAATTTTTTATTTATTAGGAACTTGTTTATTTATTTATTTAATTTTTGAGGTCGTTTGAAACTTACATTTCTTGACATTGACAGTTGACAATTATGTGACGTGACATTGACTTTTGAATAAGTTGTCAAAGTATTTTCCTACCACAATGTGATGTCGAGAATTTCACGCCATATATATGTTGGATAGATGCTGGATTCATCGATATTTATCGAGATTGTTGAATGCTATGGTTGAATGGCATAGAAATTCAGAATTTACTGGTTCAAAGTAATTAAAAGTCTAAAGATTTAGTCGATTTTTTATACGTAAGCCCCATTTAAGTGTGACGGATAGTTAGTTATCACCAGGCGAGATAGCGTTCAACGTTAACCAGAAATTTTTTTAAATGTAAGACCTATCATAATATTATCGTTATATCAAGTTAAATACTGGATCAATACGATCTTAGCAATCAAAGTATACGTTAAGCTTTTCGCCTAAGGACGGACACTGTCTGTAAAATTGCATAGTTGTTTTAAAATTATTGTTCACCAAACTTTATTCTAAATAACATTTAGTAATGATTTTGAGTTAGGCAGAGAAGTTACACCTTCACTCCTTTAGACTAGTCATCTTTTGATTAAAATCATATCCAATATTTTAATTATCATGATAAACAAAATAAAACTCATTGAGAGTTCAGTTTCAAACAGTGTAGCAACTAGTATAACAAATAGTCACTAGAACGTTGCAAAAACTCATACCTACTTCTTAACCATAACTGAAGCTTGGTGGTGAAATTAAATATTTCAGATTTACCTGTATCTATTTAAACTTCGATTAATTAAATTTAAAGTTCGAGCCAAACTACAATTCTGTGTATCAGAACCTCTACTGCATGATACACAAGTTCATTACAGTGTATATTAAGCCTTATATCAATATCGTATCGACCCCTCCCCACTGACGCACTGACGCCGGACGCTATAGAAGTATGACGTTGCTTGACATCAATTAAATAGGGCATGGCTATGATTGGCTCGTTACTTTTATTTTCGCATCAGTCTGGTACATTACCGCTAATCAGCTAAATATTGATTATTTATTAGTTAAATAGGCAGTTAGTGTCGGATAGGTAACTTAGGTTTTAATTTAGTGTCCTATTATGCAATCAACTAGGTACATTATTCTAGGATACTAAAATGAACGAAGCATCTTTTTTATCGATCCGACATCGAGTGTACCCATTATAAAATGGTCGCACTTGATAACGTAAACGTCCATCGTAGGTGCCCTACAATTACTGATGCATAGCGTTGTTTTGCAAACAAAACAATCTTTATATCGACATATTTGTGAATAGAGGTCAAAAATACTTCTATGTCTACTCATTTGTCACGCCTACGTGGCGCACTCATGTACGTCCACCCTTTGCCACGCGGTACCGCCTACATACTTTCGTCACGTGCATCACTGTTGTCGGTCATTTTGACAGGGACACTGCGACATTGGTTGCGAATCAAGGCTAATCAATTTTAGGTTATAGCGATAGAATAAAAGAAAGTATAGAGAGAAAAGAAGCAACATAACAGTTTATGAAAAAGAATGAAAAGACAAATTGAAAAATAGAATATTTTATATGAAATTACTTTATTGAACATGTAAAATCCGTATTGACATGAGGAATGCTAATTCTCATTTACAAAATAACACAAATGTAAAATTTTAGAGACAAATCACATCGAAAACCTACCTATTACTAACTAAAAATACAACATACACATCAATTTCCTAAGTGGGATCTTAGCTTAGAGTTTGGTACCATTATCAGCATTGAAATTTACAATGAGAAGAGGTAGGTTTATAATTAACAATAAGCCGCCACATACGTTTATGAAATAGTCTCTAATTTTACATATTGGTATAGTCTGACCAAAACTTCTATGTCCAAAATTAATGCACACAACTTATCAATACACAGTAAATTAAAAATATGGTATATTTAAATCAAAGCACAGCTTTAACATAAATATGTTATACAGCAAATCAGGTAATATTGCAGACATACTAGTTTTGATGAAACCAGTTGAGGTACACATCTTAAAGTGAGCATCCAGTAGTCACAGCGAACTTAACGAGGGAGGGCTAACTGTACAATTCCCCGGTGTATACATGCTAACACTTAAACATTATTTTTTTTTGAGGCTTAGAAACCTAGACCCTAGCCAGCGGCAGAACTTTCCAAACTCTGCAATATGCTTTACATACATCTATCATTATTATTAATACTACAAAACATAAGTAGTAGATAAACAACACACTGAAACATCAACAATTTCATGTGTAGACCAAAATTACTGTTATAATGCATCAGAAACATGAGCCAAAAATTAATAAATTTAACTCAGTAAAAATTATAAAAAAAATGTGAAATGTCATACAGACTTTGGAAAGTCAGTCCCATTTTACTTTGTAATAAATTAAGTCCAAGTAAATTATTCAATATGAACAGTAATGTCGTATTAAGCTGGGAGATCATTCGCTTTCCTCTTCCTCTTCCTCACCATCCTCATCTTCTGACTCCTCCTTCTTTTTCTTGGATTTCTAAAATAAAATCAAGAAGTTAGTATGTGCTTGCCACGAAATGCCGCGTAAACCTAGACAATCATGTATCACGCCAATGATATACTTACAGCAGGTGCCGCCTTCTTGCCTGCCTTCTTTCCTCGCTTCTGTGCCTTCTTGCCGCCACCCTCGCCGCCTCCTCCGTTGGCGTTGTATGACTCAAGGTCTTTCGCGTACTGCTCCTTGGCTTTGGCGGCCTTTTCCTCCCATTCCTTAACAAAAATATGGATGTTAGATGCAACTTACAACAAACAAAGGCAACGAGTGTTATATTACCAAATTCTACTTACAGATTTGTCCTTCATCGATTTCCAGATCTCGCCACCCTTTTTGGCGATTTCGGTGACTTTCATGCCGGGATTCTCAGACTTAATCTGTTCCCTGGCACTGTTCAGCCACAGCATGTAAGCTGACATGGGACGCTTAGGCTTGTCCGTCATTTTAACTTTTTTCCTGCAAACAAACAAAGGAAATTATGATTAATTATTAAGAAAATAAATGGCAACAGGTTACGCAGGCCATGCATTGAAGATTCCGATCAGTAACTAGCCTTCACGCTGCTTATATGGCACAGTAGGGCGGCGTTTTGGCGGGAAACACGCTTACGCGTCTTTTAGATGAAAATATAGTAATTCCAGTATTAATTCAATAAAAATCTAGCTTAATACAACAAGAATCACTATAAAAACATATAAAATGATGTAGTTATTAACAAAAATAGTTATCTCCCCATACAACGAGTTCACTGTCCTAGGCTTGGGTCGAAAGAACCATTTTGTTTTCACGGATTGTGTTGAAAATACGCAATAACTAAAGATGACCTAATTACCAAATAATCCGACGACTATTTAGCTATAACTTATGGAAGAACTGTTCCTGTCCCTTGATAGTAAAGATCCGAGAAATTAATTATTGAAATAAGGCGTCCTTCCCATACCCACGCGTACTAAGGAAAGTACGAAGATGCCTATAGCCATGTTTGAATGCGAATTCCAACGTGGAATGAAAATTATTTCAATGAATCCGCCCGTAAGAAACATTAATACACTTATTAAAACACTTTACTTTGATTGGAAAAATAACTGTACTTACCTGAGGGCAAAAATTTTGAAATTATTTTTGAACTGGTGCACAACCAAACTATAGACGTAGAGAACCAGAAGAAAATGTATGGAGCTCGAAGCAAATGTTCCCAGAGCAAGCTAGCTTGGGGTCGACTCGCGTCGGCTCAAAAGCGACATCTATCTCGACTGTGATTGGTCCGCCTATACGATTGTACCAACCGCACGGAAACGGCTTAGCATCGTGTACTACGTATATCCGTGACGTATCGATTGCTTTGTTCATTTAAATTTAAACCTTATGCGTACGTAATAAAGATTACTTTCTATGAGACATATTGAGCTAGAACATTTGCTTTAGAAATTTATTTCATCGTATTTCGACGAAAATATGCATAGAAATGATTAGATTTTGACATCATAACATCAGAAAACTTATACTAAGTATTTATAATAATTATATTAAACATACTTACAAAATAAGTATATCAAAAAATGACCCAGTCCACTCAACACAAGACTCCTATCGAAATGAACTCGCGCCCTATTTTAAATGCCGCCAACGTTGATTTCGAAAACGTAAAAAGCGCGGTAAACGTTAGCGGGAAAGGGACGCCAATAAAACATAGCGCTTGAATGGCAGCACGTTTGTTTACGATTTGGTATTTCGTGGGAACTTGAGAAATAGTTTTTATTTTCAAAGATATAAGGGTGTGACGTCCTTAGTTCTTAAGGTCATATACCTAAAATACATTGTTGAATACAACTAGATGAATTTAGAAACTACACATTGTATAATGACAAACTGTCAATAAACGTATCCTAGTCGTAATTTTTATAAATATGCATTAAGATTACTTAAATACCTTATTTCCTAGTCGTGCTTTTAGTTGGAATGGGTAAAATAATAAATGAGGAAGAATCGATATATTTAAACTCCGCTGTAGATGTCTTTTTCACGTAAAAATCATCCTTTTTCTTTCTGATAATCGTGTTATGTTTTGTAGGGTTAAATACTTACTAAGTACTTAAGCATCATGTTGTCACTTACATAAACATATTTAAAGTCTTAGGTACTATGTTAATACTGTATAATTACTAAACTCAGAAATTATATACAATACATACAGTCTACTTTTAACTAAGATGACGCTACTGGAATTTTAACGAAATAAGTAATTTTATTTAGGAAGGTAGAAGGAAGGAAATTACATAAGATGGTATTTGTTTGTTTTTGTTTACATTAGTAACTAATAACAACAATTTGTTGATTGTTTGACCTAGGTAGGTAGTTAGGGTTATTTACTTTTATAATTCCTAGTAAGGGTAGACCGTGTTACTATGTAAACATTTAATGACTGCATTGCACACTCATAAACGTCCCTGTAGATAGGCACTTCGCTATTTAGATATCTAAAATTTCTGACTAATATTAGTTAAGTATATTTACGGATTACTCACCTAATATTACCACACGTCGCGGAGAACCTAACGGGTAACCGGGGAGAAGAAGGAACGGGGTGGTTTTTATTTTAGTCGGTAAGAGTCTGACACTCCCTTCCGCCTCACCCAGGCGGGAACAGTCATTCGATGATATTCCCCCCTTAAAAAAAAAAAACCACACGAAGGGGGGAAAATCATCGAATGACACCACACGATATTAGATTGATTTGACAACCGGTAGGTACCTACCATTAGGCCACATGCACTTTAGTTTTTACTGATATACCTAGGACCCCACAACTGAATAGTCCTAAAACGAGACGCTAAGCTCTACGCTGAGATAATTAGTAGCTTGTGCGTGGTGCCCATACACTTTCTTATATCTATTATGGTGCCATTATTTTTTCACTAGTTCTAGATCTTCGTATACTAGACTACGGATTTCTAGGTCCTTTGAAATACCTACTTATACCTACGTTCTGGCCGTAGGCTGCGTAGGCAACTATTTACCCACATTCCCAAATACCATTCAAGTAATTAGTTGTAACTAAGTAGTAAGTGAACGAGTATCTAGCAGAAGTCTTTCAGAGGAATCTCTAGCAGCAATTGTACTTTGTCGTATCTCTTACTCCTGGCTATTGCTATCAACATAGGTAAATTTAATATGACTTGCCTGCTCGACTCTTCTTCAAAGTACTTACCCAGGAACTCATAAACATAACTGTCCCTCATGAACATGATATTCCTTCAATAATTTAATACTAATATTATTTTATCTCTCATATTCAACAGAGGATTGCTGGACTATCGAGGGCTGTCAATGATGACTAAATGGCATCCTCAGAGTCTAAGACGTTTAATTTTGAACTGTCTTGAAGCAATTGACTATAGTAGTATACTCAAATAATGGTACTAGGTACAGGTAGCTATAGTTAGACCGCCTGTGGATCTTGTTCTTAAATTCACCTGTTTAATTGTGGTTTCAGGTTTCAGTAGATGTTCTTTGTAAGTTACCCTTCTTACTGGAACAAGTTTGGTCACTGAGAAACCGGCTTGCATATGGGTTTGATAGAAAGTAAATGATTCAAAGTGATAAGATAGATAAGGGTGATGATTTCAGGATTTTTTTATGGGATAAGCCGGTAAACGACCTCACGGATCACCTGATGGTAAGCAATCGACGTCGCCAATGGATCCCCGGAACACCAGAGGCGTTACAAGACTTACAAGTGCGTTACCAATCTTTCGGGGATTTGTAACTTCCGGTAACCTTCATTCACACGACGAAACGCAACGCAAGCGTTGTTTCACGTCGGTTTTCTGTGAGGCCGTGGTATCACTCCGGTTGAGCCGGCCCATTCGTGCCGAAACTTTCCCACAGGCAACAAGGATAGGTTACTAAAATGCTGGGTCTTCCGGTAGCAGGTAGTTGGCGCTTCTTTGACATAGCTGCCGCTGCTTTGCTGGCGTGTACCTAAATCATATCCGACAGAAACACATAGCTTTTGAATACTTTGTAGGCATTTATCGACACACAGTTCCGCCGGTATTACTTAAAAGCTACCTAATTAATAATAATACTTACTGAAAAAGTCATTTATAGGCTTTCTTTCTAGCTAACAAATTATAAAATCGAGAAATTACTGCTGCTGCGGCGTCGGTCGCTGACCGATTCGTTTAATATAGGTCAACTATTAGGAAGATTATTGGCATTGGTATCTACTTATCTAAGAATGCTGAAACCTATTACAAATGCATTGTTTAATTACGTTTAAATATCACCAGTTAAGTACACCTTTATAGAGATCTCTCCAAAAAAGGATGCAAGTGACAGTTCAATTCACCACCTTGTACTGTACAAGTTGATTGACCGCATAGTTGTCGGAGAGCCAGTCCTTACGGCCGCCGACGACGCTACTGCTGTCCATCGCCTCTTCGGCGCGGCACAGTAGGTATTTACATAGCGGGCACTTTATAAGTGCGAACTAACTTTCTACATACATAGGCTAATGTAAGTAGGTAGGTATAAAAACAATTCTTACGCACGTTGATCACTACTGCGGTTCCTAATCTGATAAATTACTCTAAAGATAAAGTATCATACCTATTTACTTGTAAATACAGAAATATCTACCTACCTAAACATAAATAATACCTAACTATAAAGAACAGTAAACCAACCATGCTTGACTCTTTCGAAATCGTTTCGAATTCGCAAAATAAGTATAATGGAAGAGCGGAAATAAAGTGTGGCCTCTCTTTTACTCGCCGTTTAATATTCGATACGGATCAGGTTTTACTGGTTTTGTGACGACACGCGACGCTCATGTTGTTTACGCGCCGTGCCGTGCGCTGTCCATTATAATATCAATGCATTTTTTCTTTTAGCGAATACCTAAGTATTATACTTAGCCATTTGTTATAAAGTTTTACATTCAGGAGGGGTTGGAGGTATAAAACTATAATATACCGTGCGACGAAGAACTCAATACTTAACCATCCCTATTAATAGACATTGTCACGACATGAGAACGTTTTTTTAGGTCCTTGCCTTGCGTTCTCACATAGAGACGACCGTTACAAGGTCCTTTCATTTTCTTGTTCGTGTTTCTTACAATTCATATTGATTTGATGAATATAATCAAATGCATGATAGTAATTTTTACATCAGAATATCGTTAGTTATCATTTTAGTAGATACTGATTGATTAATTTACTTAGCAGAAATCAGATTCGTGCTTACTTAACAAAAATCTAGCAACTAAGGTTGATTTGGGTATTTTTGCCAAAGTTTAAGGGCAAACAAAAGCGATGCTTGGTCATAGGACCATAGGTACGAGATTAAAATTCCTGTTATGGGCCCATTGAACCAATTGATTTCCGTTTTATTGCTTGATGTAGGTTATACGAATGTTATCCATGAATATTTGAATAGGATGTTGTGTGATATAGCGATGTGGTGCAAGAATGCATAAAAAGCGCAGACACGTGTTGATATCAAGTTATCATTGTGCTGACCGATTAAACGAGCGCCAACTGAAGTAAGGTTGACCTGTTATATTGCATGATAAGTTTCTTATTTCAACGTGATAAGCTGTTTGCAATACTAGTTATAACACCAATGGAAGAATTTCGATTTTAAAAGTATTAGGCACGTTTTGGGCAAAGTTGATAGAATGCCTATATTTAAAGCTACTTATAATATTTTGCTTCATAAATGAATAATATTACTGTTGTTTACCTACTCATTTACAGACATACTTATTTATGTGTATTTGCGTTATATTTTCCTTAACCGGTTTATGTAGTACGTAGAAATAGATATACTTAGTTACAGTAAAATTAAAATCGAACCAATATGTAGGTATGCTACCTATTTTTAGGTGCAAATCATACTAGATCCTAATAATCCCATATACTATATTTTGCGCGCCAAATCGACTATTTTTTTTCGTAACAAAAATATTATTAATCTGAAGAACGACTTCTATTTGCCGAAGGGACATCCTCGTCAGTTTTTACTTTCTTTTTTGCCAAACCTACCGCAAAGCCCGCTTATTGCTCTTCTTGGGAATCAACCGGACAACACAATAGCTCTAGGACCCTTCCCTGTAAAAAAGGGGCGACATTGGGACGGTTTCTCGTTGCGGCACAAACCCCATACTTTTAGTTCAGTATGAGAGCGTTTTATTACTTTTTATACGGCGCGTCTAGGGGAAGCGACGCCACTGAGCCCCGATGCACCTTTGTAGTTAAAGTAACGGTTATACTTTTGTACTGCTCCCAGAGCAATTATTATTGTTTTACTCTCTTTTGTAACACATTTTTACTTATGATATTTATCTTTAAATGCCACGGCTCTTACCTGGTATTATCTATTATTTTTGTTTTGTTTGATATTCAAACACTTTAATAATAATACTTATCTCAGAATAATATGGTTAACCATCGTGACAGCGTTTAAAGTAAAATAAGAAAAAGGAAACAACAAATAAAAATATAGTCTTATAATAACAATTAACACACTAACATTACATCTAAAGTGGGGCTAAACGTTCACATACCAGATAATACGAATTTTAAGACAATCACAACTGATCTTACTTATTATATTTACAAGGGACTCAGTTTAAAGTTCTGGCTTTGGTCTATCGCTATCACTGTCACACAAATTGTGTTTGACAAGTGTAAAAGAGAGATAGAACATAGCCTAACATTTGCTCAGTAATGTTTATTTATAACTAAGTTTTAAAACAATTAAGACAACTATTTTGAATCATCAACACACATCAACTGAATAATACAACAATATCACATATACATATACAATATACATAAAATACTAAGTTTTAATGAAAATACTAAGTTATAATGAAATGGCGGGAATTTCTTCGGAATCTGTGCTGTGCATACAGCTTAGTTGTGACAGTTTCAATATTAGATTTCGCTACATGAATAAGAAACATACATAACATGATTATTAATTGTGCAAGAATAACGTTCACATCACATACAATGATTCAAAATAACTAAAATGTTTTTTAATTAGTTCTAAATTATCTCCGAATTCTGAAGACAATAAATTTCATGAGTGTTGATGCTTTTGATATCAAACAATGTTCAGGATAAGATTTGCTATAAAACCGAGGTTTTATGTTAAAAGTTTAGTTTTTTTTGTTAAAGTACACTATGGTTTCAGTCACTGCCGCTTCCGCTTTCGTCTCCAGATCCACCCGAAGAGGCTTCTGCTTCCGATGAGGAACTCTTTGCCTTCTCCTTCTTTGATTCCTTGGTCTAGAAAAATTTTAGATGTTAGCTGGTTTGTAACGAACACAATTAATGCTACTATAGTATAAAATAAAATAGATAATAATATTAAGACAATGATGGGTGGGTTGTCTATCTATCAAGACCGAAAAGCTGAATAGATTGTTTTTTGGAATAACTAAGATTATTTTTCTTTCTGATATTACGTTGCTATTCTTCGTTTGGAATTTAAAATAGTACGTCTGTCGCAGGTAGTGTACAATAGTATCCTATGTATAGGTTATGGCGTCGTGGGGTTTTAATCCCACATGTATATATATATCTAGTCTAACAATTTGCACACCTTCAAATGATAGGTGTGAATTTCATTGTATCGTTGTCTACGTTAAAATGACAAAACAAAAAGATTTAACGATCTTTTGTATGATACAACCACCTGGCACCTAAATCAGCTGATATAAATCAATATTACTGCTTAAACGTTTCGGTATAATTAATTATAATAAAGACGCCTTCAAAATAATCTTATTATTATGATATTAGTTTGATCTAATGAAAAATCTCCTTAAGGCATTAATAAATAATAGTATAACAGTGTTCAACATTGTAAGTAAATGTGAATAGAAATATTAGGATATTCTATATCACCTCACATTCGTTATAACAAGTTAAAACGAAGCTAAGAAATCCTGCAATCGAACATAACTATGTAGCTACATACAAACGTTTGTTACCCGCCTACAAATGACTAAGGAGTATATTATCTTTAAAATAAATGACTATAGACATTAAATGTAGTAGGTGAATAAAGTTCAAACTGAGTTTAACGTAAAGACATAACGCTGAGTTATGTATGCACTTGATAAAATCTACACATACTCGTACTATTAGAATCACTTGCGCGTGACCACGGCACCACGTGCTGTGTGAATGAATACACGTTTTAATACACAACGTGCTACTTGTATTTTGTTACTAGCTGTTATATTTTTCATGATTTTTGTAGGTATTATTTAAAATATATAGATATAAATATAAAGAAGATTCATTGTGTTTCGCGTGGAGCCGCGTTTAGACACCAAGAAGATAATATTGGTGTTCCTATCTTATTCGTAACTGACTTCCCGCCGGCGGTATTGTCAAATTCATAACAAATTATACACCAAAAATATTATCAAGAAACACTCTATTTCTATAAATATAAACCGTATCAGAATCTGTTGAGTAGTTTTAATGATCTATGCATACATAGCGACAGACACCGGCAAGTAACTTTGTTCTATACTATACAGACATGAAGAATCTGTCTTCGCTTGATCACACAATAAATTAAGGCTTACTACTGTATACTGCACTTTATCTAATACTTGTTATATAAAGCTAAAGAGTTCGTTTGTTTGAACGCGGTATTCTCAGGAACTACTGTTCAGATTTCAATAATTCTTGTTTTGGATAGTCCATTTATAGAGGAATCAAAAGGGTATAGGCTATCAAACTTTACGCTACGATCAATAAGCGCCGACCAGTGCGACTGAAACCGCGCCGAACTATCTAGTATATTATAAATGCCTCTCTTAAAACTATAGTCAGGAAGGGGGAAATTAATTCAACAGTAAAGTTGAGGAATAGCATTAATGCGAAATCAGGGTAGGGCGCTAGTCTTATCATCAACTCGAAAAGGTACTAACAAAAAGTTAATCATCATTGTCACTGAGAATATTTCTATTAAACTACATAGATGCAAACAAGGCCGTTAAAGAAAGGCGGACATAATTATTTATTTTATTATTAGCCATGGTTGTCGTCGGACATATTATTATTGTCACTTAGAAATGATCAAAGCACCAAAATGACAGTCGGTCAATTAAGTGTGCGTGTGTAATGTTTTTTTTTTTAAGTGTGGAAAATCATCGAATGACTGCTCCTGCCTGGGTGAGGCGAAAGGGAGTGTCAGACTCTTACTGACTAACCACCCCGTTCCTTCTCCTGCACGTCGAGCCGGAGCCCCGGTTACCCGTTAGGTTCTCCGCGACGTGTGTAATGGGTTACCACGTCACCAGACTTAAGAAAATGACAAATGTCCTTTGTGTCAATGTATGTATGTTCTGCGTGTAAGTCTATAGTAACCAGGGGCAAGAGACTGTGTCGGCTTTTTTTTCAGCGACTTTAGTTACAAATATCAACTTTAGAGTGCAATAATTAGGTGTCAATTTAACTACACCATATTATTAAGAAGAGGAAACAATTTGTTGTTTGTTTAAAACAAAATAAGCTTTAACCCGTGGTATGCCGTATGAACAAAGATCTACGCGAGACACAATATATTTTCTATTGTGTCTCTTATACGGCCAATCAAGAGGTTAAACATATTGCATTTAGAAGTGTAATATTTCATGGGGAACAACATAAGCGACATATTATTTTAGCAAATAGGTACTAATAATCCTACAAACAATACCGGGAAACTGTAAATTGCTCAGCACACATTAACAGCCTTTAAGTGGCCATTGCTCACCAAAAGCATCTTCTCACACAGAGAAGGTTTGAGCATTAATCACCACGCTTACTCAATGCGCGTTGGCGATTGCACACTTATAATTTGAAGTTATAAGTTCAGGTTTCTTCACGATGTTTTCCTTTACCGTTTCTCAATGGTGTCTAAATAATCTTAGAGAGTACATATATATAACTCGGTAGGTTTTTAACCCGCGCCCTCATGCATGAGAAGCGGGTGTCTTAAACCCCTCAGCCACGACGACAGTAACTGCTGTATTTAGATACATTTCATGGTTACTTAAACTATTCCCTGTAATGATTTTGTTCCGAAAACTATTGCTAACGACTGAGTTAAGTACTTTTTAAACGACACTAAGTACAATGGTAATTGTAAATATTTATGTACTTACATCTTTAGTATCTTTCTTCTTCTTGTCCTTTTCCTTATCAGAGTCAGAAGAGCTATCATCATCTTCAATGTACTCCTTGCTGGTGAACTTCCCTCCAGAGCCAGCCCCTGCATTACTGGTAGTCTTTGCTTTTTTACTCGCTGGGGCTTTAGATTTCTTCTCTGCGGCTTTACGTTCCTTCTCAGCTTGTTTCTTCTTCTGCTTAAATTCGTCAGCAGCGCCACTGTCCTTGTATTTCTTCATAGCTATATTGTATTCTTCTTTCGCTTTGCTTGCTTTCTCTTCCCACTCCTGTGTAAGATAATATGATTTTTTTATGTGTGCATTTAATAAGTAGGAATGGTTGTTTTCAGCAGCCAATTTGCAGTAGTCTTGTTGTAATGCTAAATAAATAATTTGAATTATAGTTAAAGTTCTTATTTTGCATCGGGGTCATTTGGGGTACATATTTATTTTCCATCGACAAACAAGTCTAGAAGAGAAAATTTTTGTTTTTTTTTTGTTCATGCCATGTTATGTTTTTACTGTAGTAATGAAAACGAAAGCAAAAACAATGCACATTATATTTTCAATATAGTCTCGGCAATGAAACACTATGATATCATTTTACCCTTGAGACAATAAAATCCAATTTCAATATCAGACTATAATTAAATACATACTTTATGGTAAAATTGTACAAGAAAGCTGAAAACCATGTTCATCAACTGATAAATATAACAAAATAACTTACGGATTTGTCCTTCAGATCCCTCCAGAGCTCTCCTCCCTTCTTGGCGATCTCTGTGACCTTGATGCCAGGGTTCTGTTCCACGATACTCTTGCGGTTCTCATTGAGCCACAACATGAACGCAGTGGCCGGCCGCTTCGGTGCATTCACGTCCTTCTCGCGTTTCTTTGACTTTTCCTTACGTTTGCGCGGTGCTTCTGACTGTAATTTATAGTAAAATAATGGTTAAATAATCCTTCACTGTCCTCTATTGAAGGGATGATGATAATGGCATGATCATGCTTAATGAAAAACCTCAAAAAAAGTATATTAAAAAAAGAAATAATTGAAAATGGTTACTCGTCGATTAAAGGTGGGTTTATTAAGGTCAATCAAAGTAATAAAGTATCAAAGGGATGAATGAAAAGCGATGAAGCGAAAGAGGAATGTAATATTTTCCAACATGACAATATAATGCAAAACTAATTTCTGTCAGCCGCTTCGCCCGCTTTCCTGATATGAAACTTAGTCCATATATGTACATACTAAATTCCTAATACCCTGGATGTCAGGATGGTGTCGACACGTCTAACATTTAGGCAGAAAGTACGTGAGCTTCTCTTAAAGACGTTGATTAAATCATCACGCTAATTATTTACAGTGTATTAGTAATTATGTTCATATTTATATACTATGAGTCTATGTATGTATGTATGTATGTGCATAACCGCATACGTGCATATATTGTATTGTACTCGTGTTTAGATATATATATTAATATTTTATTTATTTATGTTCATATCTGTAATATAATAGTATTATCTTCTATTTGCTCAATTAAATCGTTGCTTGCTTCTTGCTCATACCATTAACTCTTCTCTGCATCACCTAAAGGTCAGACTGGGAGAAAATGCCTGCGGCATTAAGTCCACCTTCTGTGCACTTTGTGCATGAAGCGTTAATAAATAAAATAAATTCCATGTAAATCTCTGTCCAGTGGTTTATTCAAACATACATACATTCATACATTCTCACGAACTGTCGCATTTTATACATACTAGCAGATCCTACAGACGTTGTCCTGCATATCCACTTGAATGTATAAAAAAAATCTAATTATAACCTAGACCTGACTGCAGCGCCATCAGTCGGGCTGATTTGTCAATCTAAACCATTCCCAGATCCCCTTGAACACACACAAAAAAATTTCATCATAATCGGTCCAGCCGTTTAGGAGGAGTTCAGTGACATACACACTCAAAGAATAATTATATAATATAAAGATATAAAGACTAGCTTCTAACAGCAATGTTCCTGTTCCTGGGATAAAAAGCCTATGTGTTATTCCAGACCATAATTTAATTCTGTTTTTTTTTTTAATTTTATGCCTATCCCTCCAACCGTTTCGCCGTGATTGACTAACAAACATACACACAAACTTACGGATTTATAATATTAGTAAGATATAGTAAGATTGAGATAAGTAAAAATGGCACAATCTACTTACAATCGTGATAGCCTTCTTGGGTTTCTTCTCTTTCTTCTTTTCCTTCTTGCCCTCATCATCCGAGCCACCGCCGCCGCCTGATGCATCTGAGTCCTCTGACGATGATGGATTGGTGTCGTATCTGAATATTAATAAATAGATTTATTATTTTGGGTCAAAGGACAATGTAAGAAAATGGCCCTTATAGTTTGGTTATATCTCATTTAATAGTCATTGGCCAGCCTGATCACTTTTTACAGGCGATATCCACTGTATGTATGAGATAAGCAAAAAGAACTATCTCCAAGTAGGTTGACGCATCGCTGGGCCACGGGCTGCAAATACGAGTCACGCATCGCGGGACCAATTCTTTGTGTGATCCAGGATGTGTGACGCGGAACAAATTATTGTTCCCTGTCAAATTGCATGTTTACAAATGTAACCATGACACGGGAGAAAATCTCAGTATGAGGCAACGTTTGTCAAGTCTTTGACTGCCAATTTTTTTTTTGGGATATACCGGTAAACGAGCTCACGTATCACCTGATGGTAAGCAATCGGCGTTGCCCATGGACACCTGGAACACCAGGGGCGTTACAAGTGTGTTACCGGCCTTTTGGGATTAGGAATTTGAGGATTGTTGGGGATTCAGGGATTGGGGAAAGGGTAATTGGGCATCCAGTAACCTAACACAACGTTGTTTCACGTCGGTCTTCTGTGAGGCCGTGGTATCACTCCGGTCGAGCCGGCCCATTCGTGCCGAAGCATGGCTCTCCCAAACTTAAAACTGCCAATAGAAAACTGTTGGCAAATCCTCCAATAACGTCAGTCACTGGTGACCCTATATAAAAAGAAATATAGAAAAGTACTTACTCCTCTGCGACATCGCTCTCCTTGGCCTTATCAGGGTTGAAGTCTTCATCAGTGCTTTCATCAGAGTCCGAATCCCCAGAGTCTCGCTCTTTAGCCTCGGCTTTAACACGCTCAAGATACGCGTCAGGTTCTTTCTCAGTGTCTGAGTCGCCAAAGTCATCGTCGTATAGAGCTTTATCCTGAAAGTAATAAGGTTTTGTTTTGATTGAAGTGTTGTTTTTTGATTACGTAAATAAAGTCTTTTTCTCGTCAACATCGTCGACGTGGGGTGTCAGTAATAGTTGTGATTAAGGATTTTATGACTATTAATAGTTATTTAAAATTATTTTGTAAATAACGATGTCTAAAACCATTGTAATACAAAAACACGATAATTTTCATTACATACATATTTTTTTTAGAATTGATATTTTACATTTGTACTTAATTTAAAAAAAACACGCCCTATTTGGACATTGTTCTTATCAGATTCAATAGGAAGTTTAAGCTGTTCTTTATTTAAACGATTAATTTTAAATACATTACCAAATAAACAAATAATAATGTTGATATCGTCAGTACAGAACAACGATGTATAAAGTAATAATTTTCGAATGGTTATCGTAAATACTTACATTTTTGCCAGTGTTCTTGACGTGTAATTTCTTAGAGGTGATGTAGTCAAAAAGTTTGTCATATTCTCCCTTCTCGATACTGCTGAATGTGTGTATGCTGCCTTGTTTCAACTCGATTTCGAAATCGAACGATCTAAACACAATGAGATATTTTTTAAACAATGGAGTTTCTTACTCCTTTTACATACGACTTAAGATTTTCACTGACGGACGGACGAATTTTGATGTTTGAAAAGTACCCTTATATGGTTTAATTGAAATAAACACTGACTTCGAATAAATTCTAATTTAGACTCCTTTCTTCATGCATTAGTAAGTAGTTTTTTTTATATAAAAACATTGCATTTACTAACATACAAGTTTACATACACATGACACCCAGACCCGAAATAACAACAATAAAGAGTTGCTCCATGCGGGAATCGAACCCGCTACACTTTGCGCGGCAGCCGGTTGGCCATCCACCGTGCCAACCGTGCAGTCATTTCAAACTGGACTCGGAGTAGAATCGGGAATCTCAAACAGATTGTCGAGTCCATGCAGCCAAATGATTGTGATTATTATTGAATATAATTATGTACAACCATTCCTTTCCTTTTTTAAATATACTTAACTTCACATGCCCTAAGCAGGCTAAATAGACTATAAGAATAAAGGATGTAACATAAAAACCATCAAATTTAATAACTCTATTTAAAAGTGAATAAATGAATTTTGAATTTTTGAAAGTGATTTTTGACATTTACTTACTTGGTAGAAGAAGCGCCTCCTCTCGCGAAGTTGACAGAAGCAATTTCCTCGAAGCGGATGTGTACAGGAGGTTTGTGCACGTATATGAATCCCTTCTCTAACGGGTATAGGTAGCCGGCCGCCGCCTTGTATGAGCAAGCAATCGCCGGCGTTTTGTGGTGACTGGAACCAAATACATTTTATTCAATAACTAGGTAGTTGACTAGGCAAACTATCTCATCACTAACACATCACAAACATGTTTTTAAAATAACTACTTATATATATACTATAATAATTACTTAATTTAGTATGTCTCACGATAGTTATTATAAAAACATAGCAAATCGGTACGGGACGGTAGGGCTAAAAAAAGTTAAAGAGTTTACGCGATTAAGATTGAGACGCAAGAAACTCGAATGTGGTTTGGATTTTGTAGTGCAGTGCCGTAATAATGGTGTAGTGCGGAAGTTCGCGCAAATCAAATCTATAAAATGCATTCGAGATTATAATCGATTTCCGTCGCGAGTGATACATCACAAACATTTCAAGATCAAAATTAGCCAAATCGGTTCAGCCGTTCTCGAGTTTTAGCAAGACTAACAAACGGAAATTCATTTTTATTTATAAAGAAGATTATGTAGATTATTATTAGGTATACCATCTTTTTTATTTTAGTGCATATGTATGTCGCTTGTATTGACTGCATAAGGCGTTATTTATTTATGTCAAACTAACCAATTTATGTTCAAAATATTTTTTTGATTTAGTGTAATTATTTTATGATATCTGAGATCATATGTTCTGAATATGAAGTTGTTTAATAAGACAACATACATATTTAATACTACAAGCAAAATACCTACGACCGCTGAATCATATTATCAAGTTAATGACGTAATTTACTATTACGCGTTAAGGTGTCCGATTAGAGTAAACAACCATTTTAAGTTATTTTTAATGTATAGAATTTCGTAAATTATTATCATATATGTATTTTATTACCCCAAAAAGTCTCCTGGTCCTGTCACTCGTCTGTTGATGATGACCTTCATGATTTTCGCGAGCACTTCGTAAGTTGGGCCGGACAGCTCCTTACTTATCTTCCCTTCATATTTCTCATTCAATTCTTCCCTGAAACACAAAGAATGACGAATTAGCGAGGAATTTAGTAATAAGTAGCATGAAGTTTTAAACTGTCAAACACCAAGCGGTCACCGGTGACCGCGACCTATTGTTCTTTAATTGTGTCTATAAAACCGGTACTCGACGACGTAATTTGACCTTCGTGTTTAGCTATAAAGATGTCTATACATATTATAATAAACAGTAGTCAAAGGTTGGTCATATCTGTCATGGTAACATCACTCGGAAAAATCAAAACCAGGCATTAAACTGTCAAACACCAAGCGGTCACCGGTGACCGCAACCTATTGTTCTTTAATTGTGTCTATAATGACGGTACTCGACGAGTTAAATAACATTAATTAAAATAATAAACCACTTACTCAGTAAACGGTAGCTCCAAGCTGGTTTCCTCTTCAATACCAAAGAGCAGCACCAAGTAATGGTATCTAGTTTGACCTTGTTTGATGGGCGGGTCGAGGGACACTACAAAGAACATCTGTCTCGTATCCTTGTGCGGTAATAGGAATAGACGCAGCACTGTCGACATCGGGATTTTGTAGTCGAATGTCTTACCGTGAAGCTGGAAGAATGTCTGGAATACTTTGATGTCGTAACGACCACTGTAACAAAAATAGGTGTTAGAATAGAAGTATTAGTGCAAAGTTTCAAAAAAGAAATGTCATGTTGACTTAGAATCCTTTGATAATGGATATTATAGTGTAAAAGATCGATATGAAAGAGATCTGTGTTGTTATTATGTCAAAAAAGCGTCGCAGATAATTAAGACGTTGAAAATTAATATTGAAGAAGTCTACTACTGGTTGTACTTAATTTATCTGAAGAAACTCAAAGTAATGTCTGTGTCATGACATAGTCCTAACGGGCAATCAACCATAATGACAATATGGCCAGGCTGACTCTAATTTGCAGAAGAACTCACCACAATATCAACATATCCTCATTAATAAAAATAGTAATATAAGAACACATACCGAGGCGTAAGACACTGTAGCTCCCTGAAGATGGCGATGGCATCACCAGAGACAGAGATGACACTGGCTTTGTTCATCACCTGCTGGTGGAAGGCCTCCACTGCGTCCATGTCTCCTGCCAACTCACTGGTCGGGATGTGGAAACGCATCTCCATTAAAGATACAGGTGTGTCATCATTCTGTTGATAAAACATTGAGATGTGGATTAAATAGCCATATTTATAAAACAACAACCCTTTCAAGGTAGATTAATAGGATAATTTAATTTTGCAACTTCCTGTATAAATATAGTTCTTACTTTCTTTTATTAGCTCATAGTTTCACTTCAGAATAAATATATTGAGCTGGTATTAGAAGTTTTTAAATATTCCTGTTTGACATAGAATCCGAATTTAATGGTATTCTCAATGAGAATGTGAATAACAGAAAACTTTTTGAAGTACCAATTAAAAAAAAAAATATGATAATAATTATCATAATTTTTTTAATGATTTTTTTTATTTAAAAATTATGTTAAAAATTATCATAATTTTTGATAATAATTATCATTTTTTTTTTATTGGTACCTCTACATTCTGGGAGTGGGATATAATTTATTGCTGTAGTCACACTAACCCTGCCTTTATAAAATAATACAAAATTAGGTAGGTACCTAAAATGAGAGCAGTTAGTTATGCTAAAGAATTTGTCTATGGCAGGAATCTTTGCTTGTCTTTGTCATAATAACATTGCACAATAATATGTAATTTTTTTTTATATTTACAGACACCTTGTACAATTTATAACAATCTGAATTATACCTGAACTCTAATTAGTATGTAGAAAATAAGAGATTTTTGATGAATATTATATATAGAATGAGAAAAATGCTAAATAATAGTGTCTAAAATGGCAAAGTATAGCATAATTTTTCATCTGTTCTTTCAGAAACTATGTCACACCAATCATTTATAAATAAATTCATGTAATCCATGATAAGTATTTACCTGGTGGAATTCAAGTGTGACTTCATTCTTGCCCGTGTTGCATTGAGAAACATTATGTAGCGGGATCTCAAATGCCGTGTTTGATCCTACATTGAAGCTTAGTACTGCTCCATTGAATTTAGCAGTTCCCCAGTTCCAGCCTTTCAGGGAGAGCTCCTTTTCCAACATGTCCTTGTTGTAGTTGGTCTTGAAGAACTTTGCCACCTTCTCTTGTTCCTGTAAATGGTGGAGAATAATTAAGATGTCATTAAAATACTAGTAAAAATGATGTTGAAGTAATGTGTTGGTAGTTTTATTAAATTATCTATTTGTATCCTTAGATAAGAGGTTCATTAGTCTGTGATTTGAGTTGTTTTATTGTAGTTGGATTGACATAGCTTAGGTACAAGACTAGACAAAGTATTGTGGTAGTAAAATTAATTCAGGATTTCCTTTTCCAATGATTACTTTGGGTACTCACCCCTTCTTTGAAACCACCATATCTATGTAGAGTGCCGTTCTTCAGGAACACTCTCAAGCCCCATGATCCTATGAACTTCTGGAAGTTCACCAGTTCTATCTCATTGGCTGGGATTTGTTCCACCTTGCCGGTCTTACTATTCTTGAACACTATATTCTGGTCTGTCATCTTTAGTCTCCCAGGAACCTAAAAAAATCATATAATTACAATTAACAATAGCAAAGTACAAGAAAACACATATATAGTTTGACAAATCTTACCATTGCGCCCTTGATTTCTGCCTGGACATCATTGTATTCGAGAAACTCCATTTTGTTTGTTCACTAAATATGTAAAAATATTATTTAAAGCTTTAAAATGTGGTCAGAGTTGTCCACGCGCTAAACAGTGTATGAAAAAAACAGCGGCACGGCGAGCGAACTATCAAAGAAACAACACAATTGACATTTGTGACAGTAAGCAAATCAGTCAATGTTGGAGTTACCAAGTAATTACAATTTTTACCCACAATCGATTGATTTAATATTTACTAGCGACCCGCCTCGGCTTCGCACGGTTGCAATATGTATGTATTATACATATAAACCTACCTTAAGAATCACTCTATCTATTAAAAAAAACAGCATCAAAAAACGTTGCGTAGTTTTAAAAATCTAAGCGTACATAGAGACAGACAGAGGACGTATATAATGTAGTGATGAAAACCGAAATTACTTTGTAGTTCTGTAAAGTGCGTAGTAACTTTTAACTAATTTAATTTAACTTCAGTCTGTCAATAAATAATTATTGATGCACTAGTTTAAAAGTTATTTTTTCAATTCATTAATGGGTGTACCATTTAACGTTTTAGATGGGTGATTTTTCGGATATTGGATTATTTATACATAAAAGTGGATAAAAATGTCATGTATTTACTCGATATTTATCCAAAAATTACCCATCTCTACTTTTGACATTTTTTTTCGTACTTCGTTTCCATCTTTGTAAACGTTACCATTACGTCAACTTGACAGCTTGTTTGTTCATTCTGTGAATTTCATTCATATTTCATTAATTCATTCATTTTTTGTGGGTGGACGGCAGACGTGTTGTATGTTGATAAATTCGTAACTATTCTATTTACGTTATTGTTAAGCATAAATAACAATTTGGAAGATTATATTTAGTGGTAAAAAAACAGTTAATATTTAAGGTAAAGTGCAGAATTGTGTAGGTGCAGTGATTGAAGAATAACTGGTTCGCCCTCATTTAAAAAATTAAATCGTGTCGTGTTTGGTCTAAGTACCACCGCTAGTTGCTATTTTTCGTAGGTGTGTTTTGCATGTGTGTACTCTATGGCGTCATTATCCTTGCCTCGAGTCCTTCAGCTGAAGAAGAACAGCTTGGATGCTGAGCGCGAGCAGTTTGAGAAGTTTCAGGTATGTTTGTAAATTACTTTAAAACTAGTATTTTTGACCTTTCTGGAACTGCTGCATTTGTAGCAAAAGGTTCTATAATATCCATACACCTTGTTTCCAACATCGTCAAATTTTCTATTCATAAAAAAGTACTAACTATGGCATGACCAACTTTTAAATATTTTTAATTCTAATACTTTCCATATGTAGGTACCTAATAATAACAGTTGATGAAGTTGAAACCTACATTGTACCTTCAAACATTTTTAACAACAGTTGGTACTTAGAGTATATTGTCTAATACCTTAAATTTTCTTATTAGACTCCTGTAGTTGGGATCAAACTAGACCCTAACTGAAAATAGTCAATTCATTGCTATAAATAGTTAAGTACAGTGAAGACAAACTGACTCTGTAAAATCAAGAGAAACTTTAAATGTGAAACAAAAAGAGTCTTATTGCAATAGGACATAAACTTCTTTAAGCAATAAGAAAAAAAAGTGTACTTCAGACAATATGCTTATCGTCTATTAAGTATAATATGTAGGACTAGGAGTTATGAAAGTACCTCTGCTTACTGTCTTTCATAGTTATGTTGTCCATTATTTTTGATTTCATTCAGTCAGTGGCTTGCCTTTGCTTCCCCGGGTGTTTTTATTTATTTATTTGTTAAGGCAAAACAAAAAGCAACATATTATAAAATATACATAATACAGCTTACACCTTATAGTTACTTGGCAAATATGTTACCCACTATGTTTACCATAGATTAGTTGTCTTTTAGTATTAGATCTAGAGTGACACATACATAGGTACATTTTTCAAATAGAACAAACTAGGTAATTATTTATTTATTTATTTATTTTTGGCCATGGTCATCTCAATGCAGGGCAAAGGCCTCCCTACCCTCCTTCCACTCATCTCTTCTTAAAGCTTCCTGTGACCAATCCTTTAATTCAATTCAATTCATAGGCTTCAAGTTCATCCCTAGGTAATAATTGAGTGTGATTTAAAACTATAATTTACCTCTGTACATTTAAATATGCTTTGTACATTTTTATGAAACAGTAACTAACATACCTACATACATCTATATCAATAAATATATCACATGAAATGACATAGGTAATTTTTTATTACCAAAATTTTACTGTATTTAAAGAAGTAATAGCTTTATTCAATTCCACAAAAATTAGATAACATCACTTAATTTCATTTTTTTATCCTTAGTACTAGGTATAATATCTATTTAAACTGTCAAACACCAAGCGGTCACCGGTGACCGCAACTTATTGTTCTTTAATTGTGTCTATAAATACGGTACTCGACGAGTTAAATTGTATTATGTCCATTTAAAATGTTTAGGCATTATTTTCCTAAGTAAATAATTCTCCAAAGCAAAAATAAACAAGAAACTTATTAGAAAAAAAAATATTGTTAAGACTCATACTAGAATGTTGATTGCTGAATGAGTGAAGAATGACTTATAATCAACACTCTTGTCTAAATAGTACTCAATTGATCTCAATCTATCTAGATTTTATATCCAACCACCATTTCATTACACGGACCGCGGATATACGAAATTGGAGGGAAATTGTCAGTGGCGTTTCGTTGCGCCACTGTCGGGGATACACGACATTGCTGCCGCAAATTACCGGTTACGTCACCTCCTGTATACAAACACTGGCATAGCTTAGCATACGAATAAAACGCTAACAATTAGACTATCATATCACCGCATCTATCTCTTTGTCTATTCCACATTGTAACATAGCTAATCACCGGCATTCTTTGTATGCATCGAAGTTTCCGGATTTAACATGAATTGTCTTCTGCCTTCGCTTTGTTACGTAAACTATAGTAAACGATTGATATACTGCCATTCATTGTTGAGGTGCCGCATCTGAAACAGAATAAACAGATGATTGATGTATGGGATGTATCATGCAGGTATCTTTTACGCACGTTCAGCAGTAGCGCATGCATACAGTTCATAATGGAAATAAACTTGAAGTGGAAATTATTCGTGTTTATTTTCGTCGACAATCGTTAGTCATCGGATTTTAGGTAAATAATTGAATGCGATATTAAATTCTATGCTCCAAAATAACTGCAATAGACAGTGCACTTGATTGTAACAAAATTGAAACATGTTAGTACAGACTTCTCTAGTTTGAGAATTCAAATTTCCATTGCTCAGTATTGCTATTGACTCCTCCTATTGATAGTCAATCTCCAATATCAACGTATAGTTGACCGAAATTTGTTTTAGCCACTACCACTTCTGCCCACGTCGTGTTCAGGAAGGCGTAATGTTATGTTCTCGCAATTCATTTGAAGCCGAGCTTGTGATAGTGATACCTAGTATCCATAGCTCGCTATTGCAAAGTTTTTTTGTTATCAAACAGATAATGAACGCTATGAGGACCCGCGTCCGATAACTTATCAACGATACTTAGTCTGCTGACAACACTCATTTAGTTACAAATAGATTCCGTGGATTATACCCGTGCTACAAAGAAGTTTCTAGTTGAAATTTGTTTTAGTTGAAATCTGTTATCTCGTGTCCTCAAGTCGCTAGTTATTTTGGTAAGAGTTTTGCCTGCATTTCAATAAACACGATCTAATCCCGACGCTACGTGTCTCGGTTGAACGAACTATATTTTGGAGATAAATATAGTTCTTTGTTTCGTGTTGCGAGCTCGGCTGAAGGACTGAATGTTTTGTAATTAATATCTTGACTGCATTGGTTGGCTACTGTTTCTCTACAGTACATAATATCGACTCTTACTGGATTACCAGCTACCACGTATTAGAATAATTTTAATTTCAAGGTATTAGAATAATTTTAGTTGCTATAATTACACGCAATGCAAGTTAGCTTAGTAAATATTGAAGTGTCAAGGACGTAAGTCCTAAGTAGGTGCTGCTTAACTACTTACACTCCTTTGTGTATTTGATGTGGTGACCCCACATACCATCACGCTCGTTTTTCTCAAGGACTGACAGGTTCTAGAACAATAATATTTTATTTCGCCTTTTCATTTTTTTCATACAACAAAAAAATGGGAGGTCAGGTCAGACTCTCAGACTGACTGTTGTTATGGATTGTACAGAGGTCATGCAGTTTTCTAAAGAATTTTCACGTTCTAATATTCTATAGCTCATGACAATCCATCCTACGTCGTGATCATAATCATTAAACGTACCTACCTAGTTGAGTTCGTCAATGGCTCAATATTTAAAGTTGGGCTATTAAATATCTGACTCCATTTCGGATATACAATGGATGGGACACCAAATGAACGACATTGTCCATTCTAGCATAAATCTTTCGATTCGTCTACATTCAGGAATCTCTTCTCATTTCTCTCTCTTGTGGGGCATCTCATCTCATCTCATCTCTATTGTGGGCTTGGGGGTGCTTTTGGTTTGTCTCTTTTTCAATAGGTACATCACTGTTGCTACTGTCAATTTGGCTCACAATCATGTAGACTGTAGATACTACTTCATCATTACGGTTGTCCGGTAAAACGAGTCTGATTGTCCGCTTCCGCCCGTAGTATGTATGCTCCACAAATTCGTTTGTACGATATGCAATGTATTTGTCACGTTTTTATTATGTATACCTACCAATTGCGATTATGTTTATAATATCTTGTTATTGCCCAGAGGAATACATTTACTAGATACCATTACACCCAAATTTCCATCACCTATTACAAAAATTCATACAACGCCAGACCTTTGTTTGTATAAATAGGTAAACGATGTAATATAAAATAGAATTTATTAGTATCTATTCTTTTAACCATTATCAAACCATAATTATTTACTAAGAGTCGTCAGTACAGGTGCTGTTAAAATCTTTTCCTTTTTACAACTATTGTCGCACTTTGGTCTAAGATGACGTAAATCCGACAATTGATTTACCGAGAATATAGTATCATATTATAGGTGAGTCATGTTTACTCGCACAATAATAAATACGAGAGATAACGTGTATTTGAGTTTATATCAACACTAAATTTTAATTTAGCCAATCAAAACAAAGAATGGTAATGATTAAAATTAAATTTTACCAACGTAAGTCGTGTTAAATGGTAAAATATCTAAGAACTACGAGTGCTTACTTTCCCACAAAAATCTTATAACTATCGATTTTAAATATAGCTTCAGCTTTAAAACAGGCCAGACGACAAAGCATACATTTCATACTCTTCATCCTCTTCATCCGTTAGTCGTCAATCATCTAGCTGCACATTCATAAATGGACAAGGACAACAGTTCAATATCATTTTGTCATTTACCAAGTCATCAGGTATTTCGTCAATCAGTTTACAGGTCGTTCAATATGTACATTGTACACTACACATAAACACACAATTGATATTCTTATCGTAGCACCTAAGTAAATAAAGTTAAACATCTGTTTCTGCAGGCTTTTGTATGTGTGAAACAGTTATAAGGTCAAGATTTCGATACAGTGAAGTCAGCCTTGCAGCTTGCCTTATATGAAAAATGGAATTACGTATTGCACCCGCGGCCAGTTGTATTCTTGCATAATTGTCATGCGGCACTTAAAAAATACTAATGTTTTGACATAAATAACCTGTGTTTCCCTCTTACTTTCCATCTCCTAACCAAATACTAAAATTCTTTAAAAATAAAACATTCGTGTTGATTACTCATGAACTAAATTCGTTATTTACATTATCTTTAACCGTTGCCCTTCCTTGAACTAGGTACGTTGTTTTTTCAAATATTACTATCAGTTATGAATGACTAAATGGAACGAGGAGTTTTCCAGTACCTACTTCCAATGAGTTAGTACTTGCAAGTGACTAAGCTTGTATGAATGTGCTGCGCTGGGCTCGGAGCTCGGACCAATGCCGCGAGCTCCAAACCGGTTCTGTGACGGAAGAAATATTACCACACTGACCTAGTGTTGCGATGTTTCATATTTTGCAACGAGAAACAGTTCTATAGTAAATAGTATTATGACTTTATGACTAATTA